CGACGAACATGGAGTCTATGTCACTAAGGATTCAGCGGAGGTGATTGAGTTAGGCTGGATTTTGTTGGATACCAAAACGTGCGAGGAGGTAAGCAATTCGTTCATCTGGGTTTTTCCAATCGGGGAAGGTTGAAACACGGCTTCATCCCCCTCCTCCTTTCTACGCCCTGTTCCCCTCTCCCCCCCGAATGGACTCGTTGCCCCGCCTAGGGGTAACTGAGGGGGGTAAAAGAGATGAAAGTGTATCTGGAGAAACAGAAAAACAAAAACATGTTGTGATTTACCCGCATATCGCTGACTTGGGTTGCTTCTCCCGTCTAGTTGCACCACGAAAGTGTTCTCGTCAAACCCGTCAACACCCCCATCACGCCTCTCTGCAGTAAGTGCATCCAACCGTCCAATTGATCGACCATCAACCCATCAATGCCCTTCCTACCTGGTTTCCCCATCTGCCCCTCACGTCCCTTTCCACCAATAAAAGTATTCGGTCTGTTGGTTCCATGGCTGACGGTCTTTTGAAGCGAGCCTTACAACTCTGACATGGGAGCACGTCCGCTCGGCAGGTACTTTCCGCGACGCCATCAACCGCTTTGACGCCTTCGCCCAGGAACATCTCATCAGCAAGAACTTGGAATTCGCCTTTGTGACACTGGATTCATGGGACCTTCGGGTGCAACTGCCCCGTGAGGCCCGCGACAAGGCGGTGGTGCTGCCCCCGTATCTCCAGCACTCCCGGACGTTTGACCTGCGCACCGAGTATCAGAGATGGCAGACTCACCACCCGGAGTCCCTGCCCTTCGGCCCCAGCTCCCTCTCCAACATCTGCGCCGCCCTCGAAGTCGAACCCGTCCAGTCCTCCGCCCCCATTAAGCACAACCTCCCCTTCCACCTGCAGGCCTTGGCCCCCGCCTCCCCCCGACGCGCCATGGACGAGGCCATCACGCTGGCCCGCGTCCTCCGCGGGCTCATCCGCAAATCCCAGCCTCCGCACGAGCACCCCGAGATCCTTACCCGGCCGATGGATGCCCGCGCCGACGTCCGTGCTTTCTTGACGGAGCGCAGCAAGGTCCTCCACCTGAGTGGACTTCCCCACGATACGACGCAGTCGGAGCTCGAGAGCTGGTTCACCCAGTTTGGTGGCCGTCCCATCGCCTTCTGGACTCTCCGCACGCCGGACCAGCACAAACCGACCGGCACGGGCTTTGCGGTCTTTTCATCGCACGAAGAGGTATGTGTTTTCGGTCTTCTCGATGTTCCCCAAACAGATCTGACTTTGGTGTGACTTCCAGGCTGCTGAGAGTCTCTGCATGAATGGCCGTGCCCTGAACGAAAAGGCCATCGAGGTCTCTCCCTCCTCCAGCCGTGTTCTGGATCGTGCGGCCGAGATCCTCACCCCGTTCCCCCCGTCGAAGAACCGCCCCCGACCGGGCGACTGGACTTGCCCCTCGTGTGGCTTCTCCAACTTCCAGCGTCGCACCGCTTGCTTCCGCTGCTCGTTCCCTGCCATGGCGGCCAACCCCGACCCCATGGGATATGGTGCGTATGGCTATGGTCCTCCGTCGATGATGCCTCCCCACATGGGTCACGGTCACGGTATGGGCCACCCGCGAGGCATGGGTGGCAACGGCGGTGTCGTCCCCTTCCGGGCAGGAGACTGGAAGTGTGGCGGGGACGGCTGTGGCTATCACAACTTCGCCAAGAACATCAACTGCCTGCGTTGCGGCGGCCCCCGGTCCGGGGCCGCGGTGGTCGCCGATTCGGCCTTCCCGTCGCCGATGGACCCGCCGTCGACGTTCAGCATGGGGCCCAACTCCATGGCCAGCACTCCGGCGCCTGGCCCCTTCACCTCCGCCGCGGGCGCGGGCGGATTCAGCGGCTTCAACAACCAGCAGTTTGGCGGGCCCAGCAGCTACGCCCTGCCGTCGGCCGGATTGGGGAGCGGCCCGGGTGCTGCTTACCCCCCGATGGGTGGTCAGATGAATGCTGGCTACGGCTCGACCAACGCCTCGCACTCGGCCGCCTCGTTCGCCAACCCCGCCACGCAGGCCGCGTTCACCGGTGCCGACCATGCCTCGTCGACCAGTGCCTCGAATGGCGCCTTCTACGGGAATGACGGTGCGAGCGATCCGTTTGCGTTCCTGTCCACCGGTCTGGGCGGGTTGACGGTGGCCGACGATGGCCATTCCCGCCGCAACGGCGCTGGCGCGAACAAGTCTCCTGCGTAGATCCAGGAACCTCTCTTCACTTAAAATCTTCGTCCCTGGAGATACTTTTCTTAACCCATTACCTTCTTGTTCATGACGCACTCCTCACTTTGTTTTTGTCAATATGGTGGTCTAGATTGTTGGTATATGTGATGGTTGATACTCGTTGATGCGTGTTTGTATAAGGGATTCTGCCGTTCGGGTGCATTCGGTTGGGAGGAGCAGGCCGGTAGCGTGTCGTCGTTTCATCGGATTGGTCTTTGTTTTGTCTCATCTTGCACAGCCTTTACGTCCAGCCTTTTCGGTATGTTTTATTATTGCGTGTTTGCAAGCGATGTTCTTGAGGGTATAGAGGGACCTGTCCTGGTCGACGGAGGCCGGGGCGGCTTCGTCCGTCAATTCTCCGATTTGTTGGCTACCTTTCCCCCAGCCCGTTGTTTCCTCGGCCTGGGACTTGCAGAGGGGTTGTTCATCGCTGGGATGGCCACCCGATTGGACGTCGTGACTCACTCATGGCATTGCATTTCTAGATATTGTTTTCTTTTGCGAGTTCATCTCTGCACTCTTTGGCACTCAGGAATCATTGGGGGATTACGGTATTGCTCACGGATGGGATACAATGGAACGGACTCTGTTGGGGGTGTTGGGGTATTCCTTTTGAGCCAGCAAAATTTGAGCCAGCAATGACAGATTTGGGACATGCGAGGCATCCGGTTTGGGAATCGAAGGTTGTTTTTTTTATTTTTTTTTCTTTACTTTTTACTTTTTTTTGAATGTCCATAATTATTCTGTCTTTATTCCTATTTGTTTTTTGTCCTCTCATCTGGCCCTGTGCCTTTGTATGGAAAAGTTGCCGCAGTCCTAAGCTGCCGTTATTGTACAGATGTGGGTGCTATTAGATGCTCGGTTAATTTGGACTGAACTGGCATTTTAGACTGTTCTTCTGTCTGCAATTTTTGAATGTAGTTCTTGTAAGATGCGATGTGTTCAACTAGATCTTTGATCGTGACGATCATGTTCCCGGGAGCCAGAATATACGTACTAGTATCTTCCCAGCAGAGAGTAGTGGTCACGACATACTAGAGTAGCCTGATTTGTTGGACTGACCAAAAGACCATCACCATTTTAAAACCCCTATTACACACCATATCATTTCAAAGCATACAATCAATTGATTGAAACCCAGGACATGTAAGTGTGAGGGGAAACCCAGGTGGAGAGCCCGAGCTAACCGCGCGCCAAGCGCTAGCAGAGCTCTGGAGGCAGCCGCGGGCCTCGCGTCCAACGACCTTCTGTCATCGCCCAGACCGGACAGCGGACATCTCCAGCATTCAACGACCCCATATCACGAATTCATCTTTTTCAACGTTATTCCGAGCTTTCTGACCTGTTTAATATCACCTGAATATTTCGTTGGTGCTTCGATACATCGCTGTTGCCCATAATGTCCGGATATGACCGAGCTCTGTCAGGTAAGAGAGCTATCACCCTAGCTTTATTGAATGGTGAGGTCCGAAGATGCTGACAGCTTGACAGTGTTTAGGTATGGATTTTTGAACTGTTATCTAAATTTTCGAATGTCAAGCTAAACGCCCATTTGCAGCCCCGACGGGCATGTCTTCCAGGTAGAATATGCCATGGAAGCTGTCAAGAGAGGTAGGCACCCCAGCTGCCCCATCCCCGCCCCCATCTTCCCCCAACCAACAACAAGCTGAACTCCCTCTTCACCCTCAAAGGCACCTGCGCCGTCGGCGTAAAAGGCAAAGACGTCGTCGTGCTCGGCTGCGAGAAGCGCTCCGCCCTCAAGCTCCAAGATACCCGCATCACACCGTCGAAGATCGCCATGGTCGACAACCACGCCGTGCTGGCCTTTGCCGGCCTGAACGCCGACGCCCGCATCCTGATCGACAAGGCCCGCTTAGAAGCCCAATCGCACCGGCTGACGGTCGAAGACCCCGCATCCATCGAATACATCACGAAGTACATTGCGGGGGTGCAGCAGCGGTACACGCAGAGTGGAGGTGTGCGGCCTTTTGGTATCAGCACGTTGGTGGTAGGGTTCGATCCGAATGATGACGTGCCAAGGTTATATCAGACTGAGCCGTCGGGGATCTATTCTGCTTGGTATTTCTCTTCTTTTCTTTTCTTGTACTGGGGGTAGTGTTGGGGTAGGGGTTTTTTTTCGGCTAATGGGTATGTTTGCTGTATAGGAAAGCAAACGCTATCGGCCGGTCCAGCAAGACCGTCCGCGAGTTCCTCGAACGCAACCACCAGGATGACATGGACCGCGAGCAGACGATCCAGCTGACGATCAAGTCGCTGCTGGAGGTCGTGCAGACGGGCGCCAAGAACATCGAGGTGGCTATCATGGCGCCCGGCCAGACGATCGAGATGTTGCCGGATGACCAGATCGAGTCCTACGTGAAGAGCATAGAGACGGAGAAGCAGGAGGAGGCCGCCAAGAAGAAGACTGGTCGGTCGGGCACCACCACGGCTGCCATCCTAACGCGCCCCGGTGGCGGTGAGGGCAGCGACTCCCGGGAGTGAGCCTGTTGCTGGGATGATGTTGACTAGTTAGTTAATTAGATTAAGCTATGTGGGCTACGTTGAACATGCTATTTCTTTCCATATCTCTCTTCTCTTTTTCAACTGTGTGTTGGTGCAGCTATCTGTAGTGTATCCATATATTGCTGATATGTACGTCTAAAAGGGACGTATACACACATTCCTTCATTTCATTTTTAAGCAAGACGCAGAGGTAGAGAGTGTGTAAGTATGTATGAATGTATGTATTGTGTATATGTTTGTATGTATGTATATGTATGTGGAAGGCATAAATCATAAGCATCGTAATCGCAACCACGAGTATCCGTCGATCCAGATCTAGAGAGCTATATCTAGCACAAGCGCTCCGAGGTATCTTTGAGAGAGAAGATGGAGCGTTCGGTGTCGCCGCGCACACGATCATCCTTGAGCATTCTACATAATCAGCATTTTCCAACACACATATATACATATATATAGAGATGTATATATAAATATATATGGATATATGTCTGAAGAAGAGTACACACCTGTTATCGACACGAGCATCATCACCCTCTACCTGCAGCGCGGGCTTGGGCGTCACTGCTTCGAGGACGAAGTGGTTGTCGCAGTGGGGGCAGTATTCGTCGCTGCATTCCGGGTAGACTTGTCAGTGTGTGGAAGTGTAACGCATAATCAAGGAGGATTTCTTTTTTCTTTGTGTGAGGGTGGGTGTATGTGGAAGTGAGGGAGTGTATACCTTTCTTCAAACTCCGCCGAGTCCTTCCGGAAACACTTTTTGCATTTCTTGCAGGCGAAGATCTGGAGCGCACATTCCTGGTTAGATATTGGGTTCTGGAAGCACGTTTGAATGATATGATATGTATGGGGTCGCTGAGCCGATATTGGCGTGATCAAGACCAACGATAGGGTTCATGGTGGGGTAGATGTAATATACCATCTCGGGGGATTTTTTGAGCGAGTGGTCTTCTTGCTCCATGTGGCATTCAGCGCAGTCAAACCATTTCCGGCCTGGAATTGTTATTATTTCATATCAATCGGAGGAATGGGGGTATGTACAGCATGCAGAGCGGATAGAGACCTGCGCGTTGAGGATGTGTTTACTAGATAAAAAAGCGTTAGTGTGGCTGTTTTGTGATCGACAGGATCCGATCGCGGGTGACGTACCACATGATGGATATGGGGTTAGGGGAGAGGCTCAGGGACAGGGGTGGTCGAAGGAGTAGTGGTGGTGGTGGTGGTGGTGGTTGAAAAGGAAGAAATTCGGAGAAGGGAGGCGGATGCGAGGATGGTGGAGACTGGGGGGCAAAAGGGCCAGATTAACGCCGGGATGTGTTGATCGGACTAGATAAAGGAACAACTTGGTATAACAGTAGGCAACTGTTTAGTTTTTGAGATGACTATCACTAGACCATGATCATGACTGGTATGTAATATTGAGTTTAAAGAATCCGACTCGTGCGGAACGAGCTACAGCTGACAGCGCGTGGCCAGTCTTGGTACCTGGCTTGGTTGTCCATCATCTGCCTCCTCCCCACACCTCTCTTCTCTTCTCCCTTTCCATCACTCTCCCTCTCCCTCTTTCTACCACTCCCGACTAATATCTCTCTCCTCCCCACGTTTCCCCTCTTTCATACTCTTGTCTTCTCTCTTTATCATCTGATTCGTGGTATCTGGCATTCAGCCAGTGTCATCCCTTTGTCTCCTTATTCCGCCTTCGTTCCCCCATTACGCCGAGCCCACTTCGAAACTCCGCCACCCGCCGACCTCGGGGTTGCAAACCACTTGAGCTCCCTTCTATGCCACGCCCCTTGATACTCGGTGGAATTGGTTGCAATTGAAGGTATATGGTCTCTCTGATCCGCAGTTTGTGTTGGATCGATCGTGAGCATGGAGAAACCTGGAGAGGGCAAGGAGAGCACGGACAATGCTCCTATTGTACGTTTTGCGGTCCCATCCCCCCTGGCCACTGTATAGTACTTACAGAGAACCTGCAGAGACCGGTATCGTCACTGTTGTCGCATTTTGAGAACCTTACCACCCGCCGCCCGTCTCCGTCTGCCCAGTCGCGCGATTCATTGTCCGTCCTGAAATCCTCCGAGCCCACTGACGATTTCCGGGCCCGGGCTTCACTCGACTTGCCTCGTTCGCGTTCCCCGTGGGCCTCGACTTCCGACCTGCAACATGATGACCGTTCTGGCTTCGTCCCGACGAATGGGTATTCAGTGAGGAACGGTGGGTCGCCCGGGAGATTACCGGGAAGACGGCAAAGTCGGCCAATGTCGATGAACTTCCGCTCCTCGCCGCAGCTGGCGCCGACTCTGACGGTGGACTCCCCGCGGTCACCCCCGCGGGAACTCGGAAGCCCAGTGCATCGCGACCATGATTTTCGGACCTCTCGCAGCCCCGGCAACCATGTGCGGGACTCGTTGCCCGCGATACCCCAGCGCCCGTTCAATCGGGCGATCTCCCCCATGTCCGCGTCGTCGGTTCCAACGGAGCAGAAGGTCTCCCACTTGTCCCCGAGCGCGTCGAACACCATCAGCGTTGGGGAGGATGGAATGTCGGGTCGCAAGATGAAAAGTGCGTCGCTGCCTCCGCCTGCGAACCGCGCAGCAAAGCCCAAGATCCCGGCCAAACCGGCGGCGTTGGCCCACCAGGATGGAGGTTCCTTGGCTCCTCGGTCGGAGCGTGCGGTTTCCGAGGAGCGGGTTTCACCATTCAGTACACCTCCGAGTAGCCCGGAGAAATCGCCGAAGCAGTTGTCCACATCCAGAGCGTCGACATTCCCGCATTCGCCGTCGCAGCCGGAACATCCAAGTCGGAGCCCGTTGATGGGGAGAGGGTCTCCCGCCCCTCCGATACATACAATGCATAGCGCACGGGAGCCGTCGTTGTCTCGACCGTCGGGGATTATCGGGGCTCCGGAACCTCCGGTGCACTCGAAACCATTGATGGTTCATATTCCTCAGGGGCCGTCTGTACAGCCAAGATCGCTGGCGAGCGCACCCACAGCCGGTCCGCCGCTGTCTAATCGGTTACAGGCCATCGACAGCCCATACGAGCGGCCGGGTCTCCCCCCACGGCGACGAGCCTCGCGGTCTCCGTCCCGACCTGCGTCGCGCTTGGAACCCGCATACACCGGTCCTGTCTCGCGGCCGGGATCGCGAGCATATGCTCACGGTGAGCTGCAGACTCCTAGCCAGATTCAACGGCAACCGTCGTTTTCTCGCGAAACCAAACCAAGAGTTGCCCGGCCGCTCGCAGAACGGCCTAGTGTCGAGCAGCCCGTTATCGAGCAACCGGTCGTTGGGCGGCAACCGGTTCGCCCGATCCAAGCGGACGACGAACGGAGCGAGGGCATTTTGCGAGTGGATTATCCGGATACATCGTGTGCGAACCGACGCGCCCCCGTCCTGAAGAGCGGTCCGCGGGAGATCAACACGCGGTACGACACTCGTCTGATGGATGTGTGTGGGAAACATGTGTGCACCACTGGCTATCTCACGCGGGTGTGGGATCTCACGGACGGCGAACAGATCTTGAGCCTGAGCCATGGTGAAACCGTGAAGAGTTTATCGATCGCTTTCAAACCTGGGACGGGTCTAGAGGACGAAGGACAGCGATTGTGGTTGGGAACAAGTGCCGGTGAACTGCATGAAGTCGATATCCCCACTCGGGCGATCGTTGCTAGCCGGTCTTATCCATCACGCCGGGAAGTCATCAAGATCCTCCGGCATAAGAAGGAGATGTGGACCCTCGATGACGAGGGCCGCTTGCTTGTGTGGCCGCCGGATGAATCGGGGACCCCGCAGCTCCAGTACAGCTACCACAACCCTTACGACCGTGTCGCGCGGGGGCACACCTTTTCGATGGTTGTTGGCGATACACTATGGCTGGCCACTGGAAAGGATGTTCACATTTACCGGCCCAACGCAGCTGACGATGTTTCGTTCCGAGTTCTCCAACGGCCACTAGGCGCGCAGCATACGGGCGAGGTGACTTCGGGTGCCTACACAGCCAAACATGGCGGTCGCGTGTATCTCGGCCATGCCGACGGCAAAGTGACCATCTATTCGTCCGCCGATTACGCATGTTTGGCCGTGGTCAATGTCAGCGTGTACAAAATCAACTGTCTGGGCATCGTCGGGGACTATCTCTGGGCGGGCTACAAGACTGGCATGATATATGTATACGACACGAATACCAATCCCTGGACCGTGAAGAAGGATTGGATTGCCCACGACAGCCCGGTGTCCCAGTTCTTGCTGGACTGCAGCAGCGTATGGACAATGAACCGGCTCCAGGTGACGTCGTTAGGCTTAGACAACTGCATCCGTTCGTGGGATGGCATGCTGGAGGATGATTGGCTCGGTAAGTCTACCTGGGTGGATTGTGTGGCCATGGCTAACGTATGCAGAATCTCGGATGCAAAACAGGGACTTCGAATACTGCAAGTTCCGGGAAATCAACGCCGTCATCATGACTTGGAACGCCGGTGCCTCTACCCCAGGGAACGTGCGTACAACCACCTTTATCCAGGATGCGATCCGCCCCGACAACCCGCCGGAGATTTTGGTCTTCGGCTTTCAGGAGCTGGTCGATTTGGAGAATAAAAAGATTACTGCCAGTACGTGTCAATCCGGTCCCGGTTCGAATTGTACTAACGTAGCGCAGAGAGCCTGCTCATGGGAAGCAAGAAGAAGGAAACTGGAGAGAAGGAACACATGAGTCGGCAGTATCGTGTGTGGATGGAACATCTGACTCGCTGTATCAACGAGTGCATGCCCCTGGATGAATCGTATGTGCTTTTGCACAGCGCGAACCTAATTGGTCTTTTTACGTGCATCTTTGTCAAGCATAAAGAGCGCCATCGTATCAAGGGTGTCAATGCCGCTGAGGTGAAGCGGGGCATGGGTGGATTGCACGGGAATAAGGTATTTCCCCTTCTTTTACTGGCGCTATGATGGGATAGACATGATTGACTCTCTAGGGTGCTCTTATCTTCCGCTTTATCCTCGACGATACCTCGCTCTGTTTTGTGAATTGCCACTTGGCTGCTGGACAGACTCAGACGGCAAACCGCAACAATGACATCGCGGGAATTCTGGAGGCGGAATCACTCCCCACGGAGCACAGTCCCACGGCTCGATTGGATCATTTCGTCAGCGGCGGCGACGGCTCAATGATCATGGACCACGAGATCTGTATCCTCAACGGCGATCTCAACTACCGCATTGACTCGATCCCACGTAACGTGATCATCGAAGCCATCCGGAACAACAATTTGGCCAAACTGCTCGACCGGGACCAGCTGTTGGCATCGCGACGCAAGAACCCAGGATTTCGCCTCCGGTCGTTCAACGAAGCCCCGATCACGTTCGCCCCGACTTACAAATACGACGTGGGCACAGACGAGTACGACTCGAGCGACAAGAAGCGATCGCCCGCGTGGTGTGATCGGATCCTGTATCGCGGCTTGGGACGAATCAAGCAGTATGACTACCGACGGCTTGAGGTCCGCGCGTCGGACCATCGGCCCGTGACTGCGTCATTCAAATTCCGCATCAAGACCATCCTGCCAGAGGAACGCACTACGGCATGGGAGACCAGCCAGCAGGACTTCCAGGTAGAAAAGCGGCGGCTCGCGTCGGAGGCGAGGTATGTCCTCCCCCCAATTGCTGCAAATCTTCCACATGAATACTAACAGATTCACACAGCATCGAATATCTCATCGGCGTCCTAGGAACGGACCCCAAACAAGCCCGCGCCTTAATTCTAGGCGCAGGAGCCTAGTCTTCCGCCGGCCTAGTCTTCTTTCCGCTGACCTGACCTACAATCTGGTCTTGTTTATACATACTACCTTCAATCTGTTTATTTGTGTTGGACTATTTTTCTGGTTAGCGGAGGCCGAAACGATGGGGGACTGCGCAGCAGTCATGCTGTATGACTAATGAATTTACGATAGACATGGTTTTTTTTATGAGCCAGAGATGGTTAGAGCTGCCTTTGTTGAAGGAGGCACGGGAGCCTGGCACTTGAATCATTAATGGGTGTTGGTGCTGGTGCTGGGGGGATCTACTGTATGTATGTACAGCTGTGTATACGAGAGGGGAAGAGGGGTAGATGGTATATAGTATAGGATAGGATGATTAGAATTGGGCCGCTGGCTTTCTCCACACTTTCTTCCACATTAACTATTTACATGGATGAAATTATCAAATTCCAATGTAGTCAAAAAAGATAAAGAAGTAATGAATAAATTAAAACCGAACTGGGATATCTTAACATACACGATGCACGATAACACAAACCACCCCATCATTGACCACCTACTCAAGACACCTACTTAGCTTCTACAGAAAGCAAGCAAGCTAAACAGACAGCTTAACAGCAGCCATCCCCTTCGCAACCGACCCCAGCGTCGCAACGCGATCAAACCACGACGTCAGCTCCGGGAACCGCTCCAGGTCCAGCCCGACTGAGCCCGCCGCTGCGACGTACGGGAAGGCCGCTAGGTCGGCGAGGGTGCTTTATTTTCAGTTAGCTTACACCCTTTTTAAAAAAAACATAGGGCAAAACACCCTATAAGGTAAAAAGCGGGGAAGGGGGGGGGAGACAAACCATTTACTCCCGACCAAAAATCTCGTCCGAGCCGTCGAAAGCTGCTGCTCAAGCCTTAGATACAAGCCCAGCGCCTTGCGCGCAAACGGCACTTCCTCGTCTCCCTCAGGGCCCTTGTCCTTTCCGTCGTGGTTGTTGTGGTGGTTATGACTGTCGGCAACAGTCGTAGACACAACGGAAATCCAGCGAGCGACTTCTTCGGCTTCTTTGGAGCCCTGCGCGTAGGAGATGTGTTTGTGCTGGTCGTGCGAGGAGAGCAGGTAGGTGGTTATTTCGGCGAAGCCGGAGAAGACGTGGTGGGTGCCGTGGCGGGAGATGTTTGTCATAAGGGGGAGGGTGGGGGATGCGGGGATGTTGGGGTCTTGGATTTCGGAGGAAGAGGAGACGAGGTGGATGGTGTGGGGGAGGCTGTTCGTGGATTTTTGTTCTGTTAGTTGTTGCTTCTTTTATGTGGCTCTTTTATGGTTTGGGGGAATTGTGTTGATATGGTATGTGTAGAGGTGGGGGAGGGGGAGGAGGGGGGAGGGACTGACCGGAGTTCTTCAAGAATGATAGCTACCGTCGCAGCGTCTTTGGAACCCGGGGTGGCGTAGAGGGCGATTTGGCCGCGTTGTTCGTCGAAGACGTTCATTGTGAGGATGGATGGATGTTGGCAGGTTTGAAGGTGGTGAGGTTGTCAGTATGTTGGTGGGAGGGGGAAAGGGGAAGGGTTCTTTAATAGTCCGGATGAGATTGACGAGTTGGTGCCTGAGCAGGAAGAGGATGACGTTGATGTAAAAGTATTAGCGGGGGGATTCAACTACAGATGACTGTCCCGTGGTTCTTCTCAACCCCAATTGTACCCCTCTTTGTTTTCTCTCTATCTACCCCACGATGTTATTGTAATGCGGATTTTACAATGGTAAATATAGTAGTAATTGAGTTCTTATCATTATGTGTTTCTTTTCTGCTATAGTAGAATGATTTCTAGTATTCCTGACTTGATTTTCACGCTTTGTTCTTCTCATTGACCATCCCTAACTGGCCAATAGACTTTCTAGAACCACAGAAATTCTAGCACGTGCATCAGTAAGGGTCTTGTATGGTCCAATTTATACAGCCTGTATACTTAGTTCCATCCATTCATTAAAACAGCCAATACTGACTCTACATGCCCATAATTATTGAAACATTACGTGCCATTAGAATGTACTGATATCTGAGTGAGTAAGGTAAATATGCCTCAGGAATACAATCAACCATGGAAAGTACTAGAGAACTGTACTTGACCTAGGACATGAGAAGATATTCAAGTGATAGATGAGGCATAAGTCACAGTTCAAACTCACTCACCCTTGAGATTATACACCGCAGTGGTGAAATATGTACCAAAGACTTGTTTCTCCCACACAGATGGTATCTATCTACAATGAATACTACTGTACATGACACAATCGCCTTGACCCTCTCCAACCCCCTCAAGTGGTCCATCACCCAGTCTCTATCCAAGATGAGCTCCCGAGATTTCTATACCGTCGCCCACGAAACCCTCCAATGCATCTACAGCAGCGTGGAAGTCGCCCAAGTCGCGCACGCCCGGATCCAAGCCCACAAAGCCACCGACGGCGCTAGCGACGAGGCCGAAGCTGAGCTCGAGGCTGTCATCCACGGTCTGGAACGTCTGATCGACCATTTCGAGTTTCGTCTGGACACTGAGATTGGAGACACCCCGATGGCGATCAGGCTGAAGACGACTCTGAGGGGGATTCGAGATCTTCTGGAGAATTTGAGACCGTCTCCGGTGCTGGAGGACTTGTGCTCTTCTTTGGAAGGACTGGGTGTTGAGAGGGATGGTATGTTTCTTTCTTTTCTGTTTCGTTATTTTTTTGACTTTTGCCGGTTTGTTGTTTTTTTTTGGGGGGTCGGGGCTGGCTGATACTTTCGATGTTGCTCTCTCTTTGGTATGTGTTTGCTGGGAGAGAGCTTATTTGATTTGGTTGATTACACTCTCTGATTGATCGTATTAATACTATTTAGTGGGAGAGACAGGGCCACCGGAGAACATCGAAAGATAGGAGTATGCTACGACTTCGAAGCATTATATTCAGATGTCTGTCAGGGACAGGAGGAAGATAATGGACGCCACCAACCGAAGCTTAGCGAGCCGTCGAGGATAACATAGCTGGTAAGACTATGGCATTCGCAAGGATCTTTTTTGAGAATGGATCAATGGGCCCCAGATGGTATTTCAGTTCTTCGGCGGATGTGGCTTCTTTTTTATTTCTTTTAATGGATGACACGATATCTGAGTCAGTGTGGAGCCAGAAATCCGAGCCCAAATACAACCATTGTTCATGCAGCTTTTGCTCTAAGTACTATTATTTTAGTTGGTCTGTAGGGAGATCTTTAGGCGAAATATACAGATATCAGCAAGCTTTGTTTCTACTAATGCAGACTCTGCGTCATCTCATTGATCATACTTTCTCGTTAATTAGTTCAGACGGGTACCTGCAAGTCAGACTCTCCGTAGTTCAGTTATATACGGAGAATTTTACGCTCTCGCCTTCGTCTCTCTACAGAAGAATCGACAAATGGACCAAACCAGCAGAATAAGAAGTTCAGCCACAGGTAGAGAAGTCAAAAAGCACCAATTTACCATTTGATAGGACACGAGACACGCATCATTTAAAATAGACAAAGCGTGCTCTCAATTCTCCCCGTTGAGTACTCGTTCTATCCGATCCTAGACCATGAACAAGCCAAGAGGCAAGCACACTGCTTCTGAAACTGGCAACCAACCTACCCCAGGAAATCCCCAGAGAATGAGCACTGACAACACTGGATCAGCAGCGGTCTAGACACTTAATCTCTAGTGTTGGACCGCTTATGTCGCAGACAACAGTAGTCCCCTCGTAAATCGTATTGACTGCCATATTCGGTTAGGCCGTGCCCTTTGGTATAGATGAGCAGCGTCGATCAGTCCTAAAATGTACATTCATCCTTGAATCCAAACCAGACATCGACCAAAGAGATTCCAACTTTTGAAAATGAATGTATCTATTGGGCAGACTCCCATAGCTGCAGCGGTTTCTAGTTTCCAGTAATTCTGGAAGTGGATATGCATGCGACACCTCGGTTGAGCTGCCAATTTCCCTAGTTGATCGGGGATCCGCCCGGAGATGAATGGAATGAAGGGGCCTTTGGTTCAGAGTATGTCGAGAGGGGTAGGGCCGTTGACTCTATATAATGTCCTCGAGGGTACGACTAGCACCCAGCTGATATTCGCATGAAACCCCACACTTTCTCTAAAACCGCCTGCAAGAATACCTACCCCCTGCCAGGAATCTGCACTGACAACGCTTGATTCATCCACGATGAAGCTCACCATTCTTTCAACCACTCTGAGCTTCGTCTTAGCCACTGCCAATCCCCACTATGCTCACGGCTCTGCTTCCAAGTGGGAAGCTCCCGGTCCCGATGACTGTATGTACGCAAGACCCGGACCCATAGACAAAACTGACGATATACATAGTTCGCGGACCATGCCCAATGCTGAACACCCTGGCCAACCATAATTTTCTACCGCACGACGGCAAAGGGATCACCAAAGATGTGCTTACTCGTGGCTTGGGCGAAGGACTGAACTTCAATGCGTCACTTGCGAGCTTGATGTTCAAGATGGCCACTGTTGCCAATCCCGAGCCGAACGCTACCTTTTTCACCCTGTATGTACCTTATGTTCTGTCTTTGCATTTTGGGAGACATATGAACTCACCATCATTTAGGGACCACCTCAACAGACATAATGTCCTGGAGCACGATGCGAGCCTGAGGTGAGTTTGTGGATCCACAGCAGCGGCACGTCACTACAAGTGACCGTCCGCATCCATGACATCAAACTAAGATAACAGCCGCACCGACGCCTACTTCGGCAACAATCACGTTTTCAACGAGACCATCTTCAACGAGACACGCGCATATTGGACGGCGCCCTTGCTGGACGCCAAAATGCTCGCCAACGGCAAGATCGCCCGCCAGGTGTCTTCCCGCGCGTACAATCCCACTTACAAGTTCACCTCGAACACGGAGGCGTTTAGCGTCGGGGAGGTGTCGGCCCCCATTGTTGCCTTTGGGGACATGGAGGCGGCGACTGTTAAGCGAGATCTCGTGGAGTATTTCTTTGGTAAGCTCATGATCTCTGACACCATTATGTATGCTATATTGTGTTCATGTGCTTATGAATCTGGGCAGAGAACGAGCGTTTCCCTACCGAGCTGGGATGGTCAAAGAAGAAAGAGGTGGTGAACATTGAGGATATTACTCGACTGTCGGCGATTATTACGAACGCGACGAGTCTTTTGACCGGATTGCAGGAGAAGAAGACCAGGCGGAAGGACTTGCACAGTGGATTCCAAGTCCTCTAGGAAGGACTGGAGCATGATGTATATAAGTTTCGGCCCTTTACATAGTATTTGGCATATCAACCAGGAACGACTATCAGAGATAGATTGTGCTGGACGCTATGCTTGAATAATTGGGGTGACTACTGCGGGCTTACACTGGTTGTATATTGAAATGCGGACATTGTTCTCGAAAGCGCTCGCCGGCTGTATGGTGATAGCACATGTGGCAGAGTTCTTTCTCCAAGGAAGTTGAGCATAATACTGGTGCTGGTCTGATTTGTCTGAGTAGACAGGAGCCAACTAGCGAAGTCGCTTCTCTTCCCCTCTCCTTCACCTCCAGATCTTTCCATCGACGCCTGAATATGGCGTAACATCAAAGAGGAAAGTCTGCAGCAATTCCAGCTTCTAAGGCCATCAGTTCTGAATTACACGCATGTAGTTACTAGGCACCTTTGGGAGTACAAGCATACAGGCCCAAAGGGTTTGGTCAGGAAAGTGATTTTATGGTTGTAAACCCCAAGAAGCCACTCGCCCCCAGCGAGCTGCCCTATTAAAGTGGCATTGTAAGAGATGCTCGATATCAAGAATAGTAGGTCGAGGGATGCTGGGTCAGAGTTTATAGCCTAGTTGTAGTCTCTCCACTATCATGAATTACTTTTGCTTCTCGCTTGATCATCGAGACCTTGACATATTTAACAGCCTTACACAAATACCCAAGAGCTTCTCAGAATGGCCCTCATTTTGATGTGATTATGTACATGCCATTAAGGTTGTGGAAGGGAAAATAAGTGTTATTTACTCGAGTATAGGATAGTACATTGGATTATAAGTGAACTGAGTAGTGACTGAAGTCAGAGATACCTTCCATAGTTTCAAGGTGGTTTGACAGAGAAGGACGATAAGTTACTCGAGTCTTCTCTCTGGGGGACACAGCAAACGGGTATGAATAAAAGCTGAGCGGATATGATCAGTCATAAAAATCACTGCTTAGCGGGTATGAACTTTTTCATACCTACTCAGCTTAGGTTTATTTCTTTAACTAAGATCTTAAGAACCCTACCAAGAATGTATTAGGTGGTTATATAGAATACTAGGTGATTGATAAGACTCTACTAATTATTCTTCTAAGAGTATAATTTAAAGTGACCGTGTCAAAGCTTATAAAAGTGACTATATAGAAGATATACTACGGGGTATGTATAGTTACATGTACTAGTCTATTTTATGAATTTTTGTATGGACATACCTGCGAGGCTCTTCTCTTGGCAAGGACTTTGAAGAGCTGAGTGGTTGCAGATATGAGACCCACTTGGCTGACTGGTCATACCCCCCCCCCCAGCTTATAGTCTTACCCGTTTTTGCTGTAAGCCCTTCTCTCTGTTCTCTTCTTTCTTCTCCCTCAGGGAGCACCGGCCGACTCCCAGCAATCATAGCATGTATAAGCAGCTCGGATTACCTCAATAGGCATCATCGTAGAAAGGATATCCGTTGGAGGGTCTTTACCGCATGCTTGTATATTTGCTACGGCCGAGAATAACCCAGAAGCCTGACTTATGGCACGAGCTTTAGCAGGTGCTAATATTGCTTCCTGCCTCTACAAAATACGAGACCCCTTACTGAATGATCCGTGTCGCTTCACACTATCAGCTGCACACTCTTCGGACTCGTATCTGTTCCATGCCCCACAGCTCTGTAGCTTAGCAAATGGACCGGTATGCGGTTTGTGTTAAGGAGAATAGAAAACTATGACGGCATACTGTTGTAGGTAGGGCCGACCTCTAGCATATGCTCCAATCATCGCGCCAAAAAGCTGCGCTGGCGCAATACTCCTTGCGTTCACCAAGTTACTGTGGATGGTAGAATTGACAGACTTTTTACATTATATGACGTGCTCAGATGCAGTCCTAGAGTAGGACATGTACTCGAGAAGGGATTTGAGTATCTCCTGACGGCAAGGGGTGCGCAATTCATGTCTCCATTTGTATATGTTGACAGTCACTTGAGGACATAAGGTATATCGCTCATATGCTCTTTGCCTTGCGGCAAAAACGTTGAGGCATGAATGGAAACAGGGCGTTACATATGACGAGGGAAGCCACGCAACCATCTGCACATAAGACGAATGGAATGTGTATAGCATATGGTATCCTTGCATCATTTGGCGACAACTTCTGTGTCGGTAGACCAGTTCCCAAGCTATATAAACAGGGGCTTGTTGCGTGTCTATAGATTAGCATCTCTCAGATTCTCAATTCAGATCCTACTATTCTACGAGTATCCTTTGCCTACTAAGCCTCCAACCTATACCCAAGACCGACAAGATGGAATCTACCACCCGCTGGAACGTTGCCTCTGGAAACTCTCAGGTAAGTCTTTCAAATTCATTGGTAATATGCTGTATGTTTGAGAGATATAGCTCTAACGAGAATTGTCATGTGCAGCGTGTAAGTGATTGATTGCCCTTCTCCCTGGACGCAGATTTTGAATCATGAACTGACCACGTCTATTGGACAGTGGGTGAGTATCTGAACCCTATACCTACTTCGTGATTATCAGCGCGCGGTGAAAGATGCCTTTACAGTACTGTTTCAAAGAATTTAGCTCTAACTGATATCATCATGTGCAGCGTGTAAGTAAAATGACCCCCTTTGACCCTGGACAAGAACTTTGAATCATGAACTGACCACGTCTATTGAACAGTGGGTGAGTATCTGAACCCTATACCTACCGCGTGATCACCAGCGCGCGATGAAGGATACCTTTGCAAATCTTATTGACCCGCGGGTTTAGTAAACGCCCCAGCGTGGTGACACTGCCGACTAGGGAGTAAAACGAGGCCAAGAGCTCGAAAATGTGAAGCCCCAAAGCTAGTGAGTGCTATGGGAGTCAAGCACTGACATATTTGCTCCTAGCATGTCAATTCAGCACTCCCGACATCAGCATCATGTCGACATTGTTCAGGGCATCTTTTCCTTTTTGTCTTGGTATAGGTTTTCCCTATTAGATTAGGTTTCCCTATATCTTAGATGCAAATGCAAAGACACGATTTCCTTCTTCCACGTTGAACATGGGCGAGTGATAGTTTGATACTATGTGTAATCTATGTCAGAATCTTTTAGGTACTACAGTATTGGAGAATCCTTTTGTGTCTTATAGAGATTTCTCTCAATCATACGGCAGAAGCTACTTCGTTATATCTAGATCTTGATTCCAAATGTCCAAGTAACCCTCAAGCTCAGTCACTGTGTAGTCTGCCTCGCAGGTGACATGATGACATCCAGCTTTGGCTCAATAGTCTAGCCAGTGTTCGAATTTTGCTTGCTCTACTGTATTTCCCGTGAAGTAGAGAAAGGGCAACGGGTACCATGATGCTACATGCTACATTCCACATACAAAACTTGGCACCATGCTTCGAGAGCTGATCCCTTCTCATACGAGTTGGCGGCTTGGTCGGGTAGACGATGATAGCCAAGCTCTCCTATTGGTAAGGAAAGAAAGATCAACATCTGCAGAATACGGAGAAATACATCGTCTTCATGGGTCACATTACTAGTTGATTGCAAATGCAGTCTGCTTTTCACAGAGACGAAGCACGATTTATATATTAGTTTACTTGCTAAGAACAACAAAAGCCAAAGGAGACTGCCGTACAACAGAAGCAGGGCTGTACATGCGTCTCACTTCGCCTCCAAATATTTCAAGATTTTGATGTCCTTTTCATCCGTCCTTTCAAACCTGAAGAAGGTACTGAACACATCATCCCCCGTGGTAGGAGACGTCCACGAATACTGGCGCTGGCGATTGACCAGGCGCCATCCACGGGGCTCTTTGAATCCCTCCATGGTTTCAAGGTGGTTGACAGAGTGCATATGGCCATGACCAATCTGGCGAAGGTGCTCATTATAGGTATCCGGTATTTCGTCAATCGCAATAGTGATCGACTTCTTTGCCAGAACGAAGCATAGAACCATGAAAAAGGTGAAACCCTCTCGGGAAAGGAAGTGGGCTGCTCCGAAACAGATAATATGATCTATTTCATCCTGGTTGCGGTAATTGAGCAGGCAGGTTTGCATGCCATCAATGTAGACCTCGTCATAGATTTTCGTTTCCCGGCATATGTTCGCCATTTCCTCAGATATGTCAAAGCCCACTAGACTGTAGTCTTTCTGTGACCTATTGGCCGCAAGGATGCGACCAAAAAACCCCGTTCCGCACGCAATATCCAATACAGAGCCTGTGAAATCAAAGCACTTCACAATGTGTTCGAAGTTTGCCTTGTCCTGGCTGTGCGTGTCGCCGTCACCGTCATACTTGTGGGCAATGCTGTCATAGGCGTCGGCCACCTTAGACGACCCCTTTGGCGCGCCATGGCGCAGGAAGTGATTTGCAATAAAAACATTGACCACGGCCATGTGTCCTCCCGGAAGTCCTTCACTAATCGGTAGGTCTTGAAAATTGGAGTCTTGCGGTAGGAAATCTGCTGGCTGCGGGTTCGCCTCAATGACAAACACCTCTCCGTTAGGGCGAACCCGGAAGTCGACATCGCATCCCATGTGGCTACCTCGAAACATGCCTGCCTCGAACGCCTCCAAGGCCGCTTGTTGAAGTTGGTCGAACAAAGTGGGGTTGTCGTTTCTCTTTATAAGCTCCACCCGTGTTTCGGGGTCAAACTTCAGATCAAACGTCAGGATATTCTTCTTTTGGGACACGGCCTTAGTCCTCATAACGTAAGGATTCAAGGCAAGCGCAGAAGCACCCATTTCAATCACTGTGACACCATAGTCGCGTCCCTCGATATATTCCTGAATGACAATATCATCGCTATGTAATGTCGCCGGATGATGTGATTCCGCGTGGGCTCTGAGCCCAGGGTCTGGCAGGCCGAGGGCTTTCGCCCTCTGAAGGCGAAACGGGTGCAGCTGCTTGTTGATACGGCGTAGCGCATCGGTGAGCTCATCCTCATTGTTGCAGACCGAGTTTTCGTCGATCATCAGGCTCGCGCAGCCATTTGCGGGCTTAACAAACAGAGGGAACTGCTTCGTGCCAGGCACACGTGGTGCCCCACGTTTTCTAGCATTTTCGTAGAAAGCATTTTTGTTTCGAGAGCGCTCCCAGCTCCGAACACCAGCGGAGGGGACGCCCAGCGACTCGAAGTATTGACTGGCTTGTATCCCGGCCACTGGGTCATCCAATGAGCCCCAGAGAAAGTTGATATAGAAATCGAACCCTTCGGCTACCAAAGCATCGATTTCTTCATTCGCCGTTTTCAAATGAATAAGTCGATTCTCAAATGTGTGCTGGGAGGTATAATCGCCCAGATTAGACGGCTCGTCGTCTACTTCCGCGAGATCGGAACCAGAGCCCTCATATGATGATTGCAGCACACAAATTCGCATTTTGATGAGATTCACACAAACAACGCTATGTCTACCAAAAAGCTAACTGGAAGCTGGGGCAAGGATTGTAGGGTAAGCAAAGCATGGCAGGTCTCTTTTATAACTCCAAAGCTCTCATGCTTCGCAACTAGGTGTAAGATCCTCCTTTTGGGGCCCACTTCTGACTTGTAATGTATGTCACTGTGTCGACTTATGATTCATCTCGCAAGGTAGAATTAGAATACCTTACATGCCGACTCGCTGCCTCGTTGACATTGCTGGTGGTCAGACACATATACATATGTTGAGCGACAATTGTGGAGCATTATATGTGGGGTTCGTATGATTTGATTCATTCTTGACCAGATTACTACTTGTCCCTTGCATAGCATGATCATTATATGAATCACAACATAGGTAGGGGCAACTCAAATGAGCCATTGCAGCAGTAATATGCATAAAAATGTCTCATCGATACAACTGTCCTTAGTTAGTTGCGGCCTGGGCTCTCTCGAGTGAGCATCAGCACACAGACGCAACCAAGCGCAATGACGACGAGTAGAAGCGCATATCATATCAAATCCAAGAATGTACTTTCTTGCCCCTTACATATCACATGTACTTGAAATTGGGGCACATTTTGTTTTTGTTTCTCACGGGAACCCGATGGCTCGTATCATCGCATATACTACCCCTTAGCCGTCGGAGCTCGCCGTATGCTTAGAGGCCACTTTACCCTGTGTTCGGAAGTATGGGAGCTGTATTAGAGACCAACGAGCTCTGCTCATCCGGCCAGTCGGGTTCTTGTGCTGCACGACCCCCAGACGGAATCGAGCAGGATGCCGAACGGTCCTCCCTAAATGCTGCAAATGAAGAGCAACAGTATCCGCCGCTAAAACAGTCACTGCTCATAACAAGTGGTCTCTATTGCACACTGTTTTGTGTGTCATTGGTGAGTTACTCTTGCAAAAGCCCTGGTGTCAACACACCCATGCTAAAACCGTCTTCTCAGGATGAAACGATTCTGGCCACTGCCATCCCTCGGATTACCGATGAATTCCAGTCCCTCGGAGATGTCGGCTGGTACGGAAGTTCGTATCTCTTTTCGCTCGCTGCAGTACAGATGATATGGGGCAAGCTGTACACGTTGTACCCGACCAAGTGGGTTTTCTTATTGGGGGTGGTTATCTTCGAACTCGGCTCTCTCGTCTGTGCGTTGTCCCCTTCATCGGGTGCCTTGATCGGAGGCCGAGTTATCGCAGGCTTGGGGGCAGGCAGCATTGAAGCTGGGACAATCATCATTATCATGGACACTATTCCCCTGCGAAAACGGCCGATCTTTCTCGGAATACTAGGCTGCATTGACGGGATAGCTACGGTATCAGGTCCACTGTAAGTACCGACCCCTCGTGCATATATATGATCGGAGTAGCACTTCGGGGCTAATTGCACACCAGGCTGGGCGGTGCCTTAACAGACCACGCTACGTGGCGATGGTGTTTCTATATCAATCTCCCCCTGGGGTGTATATCTTTTCTTGTAATCATCTGTCTTTTAGGATCCAAGTCGAATCCTCCTCCATCGAGCCATCTGAATGCAAAGGAGAAACTCATGTCGATGGATCTACTAGGAACGCTGCTCTTTATCCCTGCAGTTCTCACACTGCTCCTGGGACTTGAGTACGGTGGATCCGAGTATCCCTGGGCCAACTGGAGGGTGATTGTACTTTTCGTACTTTCACCCCTCCTACTAGCTATCTTCGCATGGGTGCAGATACGGGCTAAAGAGCGAGCCTTGATTCCTCCCAAAATCATCTGCAACAGAGATATGCTGGCTGTGATCTGTTTCTCTATGTTTAGTCAGGGAGCTCTCTTTATCTTCACCTACTATGTGAGTCTTGCCCTCCTGTCTCAGATAATTCTTTTCTTCTTCTTTTTTGACCCTAGTACTCTCGTAGCTACCTCTCTGGTTCCAAGCCGTCAAGGGGACTACAGTAACTGTATCTGGCCTTATGATATTACCCACGGAAATAGGGCTAGTCATCTCATCATTTGCCACGGGGGTCATAGTTTCTATAATGGGATACTACACGCCATTCATGATCATATCATCCGTGCTGTCGTCCATTGGAGCCGGCATGTTGAGCACCATGACTCCTACCTCAGGGCTGGGGCCCTGTATAGGATACCAGGTATTACTGAGTGTTGGCCTCGGGCTAGGAATTGAGAACACAATGCTAGTTCCGCAGGTAGCATTTGCCGAGGACCACACCATCATGGCCATTTCCGTACTCTCGTTGTTGGAAACGTTAAGCACAGCCATCTCCCTAGCCATCGGGAAAAGTATCTTTCATAATCGACTTGTGGATAATCTCCACACGATAGCCCCTTCAGCGGATGCCTCCCTGATCACGGGCAATTCAGCACTCGTTCGGGATATCGTTCCAGATGATTTGTTGCCCAGCGTCCTCAACGCTTACAGCCGGTCAATCATGCAGACTTTTTATGCTGGTGTGGCTATGTGTGCGTTGTCGTTGTTTGGCTCGGCTTCCTTGCCATGGAAGTCGATTAAAGAAGAAGAGTCGCCGGACAGTACGACGGGGGATGACAATAGCGCTCACTCGGCGGATGAGAACAGGCCAGAAATGACGATTGTTGGTCAACACAAGGCTTCCTAGTTGCAGCGTTTTTTTGGTGTAGCGGTCATGACCATATATGTACCGTCACATCTTTAGTTTTCTATCGAGTTCGAGATCAAGGACCAAGAGCGCAGGAAGACGGCAGCGGGGAATGGCATCACCTTACAACGAACTGTTCGCACAGCTGAGATGTACAAATGTTAGGGATATCTTAAGCCCTCCCAAGTGCTGGTCAGAATTTTGGTGCAGCGGCTGTTCCATCATGCCAGACAAGCCGTGGAAGCTTCCTTCGCGGGCCTACGGTGTTCTGCTGCTAGAAGCAGGGAAAGAAAGGAAGAAAAGGCATGGATACCTAAACCCCGAAAGGCAATCAGGCTAAATACTGTCAATACTTGCCGGCAGTAGCTATCGGCAGGCACAAGGTGCCAACAGCCGGGTCATCAAAAAAAAAAAAAAACAACAAGGCACTCAGCAGAAAAAAAGAGCCGAGTTTTTCACGAGCAAGGAACAACTACATATCGTCCATTCCTGCTATAGAAATTATCTTCTCGTTGGAGCTTGGGGCCCGATGTTTCCACGGGTCTTTTACTTTGCAGTTTTATACTCTATTGAAAGAAGCGTTGAGCGATGTGAGACCTTACTAGGTGGTCCATGGCTGCGAAGCTAGTAGGGGAATAACAAAAATGTCTTAGGTATCTATAACTATACTACAACCAGCCGCGACTGTCAACAACAGTTGACAAGCCCTTGCAGCTCCTACTCTGGGCTCACTATGTATGCTATATCACACCGGTGAACCGGTTCAAAGTATTCAACTGCGCGATGTCGCAGCTCCTGAATCAATCAGGCACGGATCAAGCTGCCTCCAGATCCCAAATCTCATAAACCCCTGCTTACATCCTGGCAGCATCCAATGCCACGCAGCGCATTTCACGCACTCAGATACGTGGATTGTTACTCCATTCGACACGGGTTGCGGGGACAGTCTCTCCGCGGGGTTGTAAATCATCATCAGCACAAGCTAGGGTCTGACTTTAGCGTCGCCTACTCCACTATCTGATTGGGCATATGAGAGCCACAGAGGAGAAAAACGCCGTCAATTATCCACTGAGCAGAGGTTAATTCAATTTACATGATGTTTCCCGCTTGCGTGGCGTTGAAATGTGGAGCCGATCGTGTCTAGAGTACAAATAGCTCGTCATATGCTACTCTTTTGGATTAGTGATTGTTAGCCCATAAATTCATCAAATCTGGACTTTCGTCATTTGTGCTGCGCGTGTTACACTTTCATATCTTGGGTGAGATCTATTCAGCATGCGTGATCGCGCTCTTTTTCTTTCCGCCTTGTTGGCTGGACTGCCGCAAGGGACGCTTGCCCTGGAGATGGCAGATGGCATAGTGAGTTTCCGCTTCTCCATACACGATTCGTCTATGCTCAAAGACAGAGGAAGACATACTGACCAGACAAGGGCAAACTCCCAGCCCTAGGATGGAGCTCCTGGAATGCCTTTGGCTGCGAGATCAACGCGGAGAAGATCATGACAGCAGCTGACCAGTTCATCGAACTGGGTTTGAAGGACTTGGGATATGAATACATCAACAGTTGGTCTCTACAACCGATCCTCGCATGCTCAGCATACTGACAGCTCCAGTCGACGACTGCTATTCAGTCAAGACCGGCCGAGACTCGAAAACCAAGCGCATCCAGCCCGACCTGGACAAGTTTCCTGATGGGATTTCCGGTGTGGCAAAGGAGATTCACGAGAAGGGACTGAAGGTGGGAATTTACAGCAGTACGCCCTCCACCCTGACCTTCTTGCCCACTACCTAGGGGTACTAAGCAGCCAACTGATCCGCTAGACAGGCGCCGGAACGGTAACCTGCGCCGGCTATCCCGCCAGCATAGGCCACGAGAAAATCGACGCCGAAACATTCGCCGAATGGGGAATTGACTGTACGCTCCTCCACCCCTCCCCAGACCCAACCCGCAGTATAGTACTCACAGCAGACCAACAACATCACTAACAATGGTAGACCTAAAATACGACAACTGCGGCGTCCCCCTAAACTGGACGGACCCATACACAGACTGCGTCCCCGACTCCTCGAACGCGGGCGTCTACTATCCCAACGGCACCTGTCCGGGTCTGCCGAACCCGGCCCCGGACGGCTACGACTGGAACGGCTCGAACACCGCCAAACGGTTCCGCGCTATGCGCGACGCGTTGCTGAAGGTTGATCGTCCGATTCTGTATGCGCTGTGTGAGTGGGGCCAGGCAGATGTTAATAGTTGGGGGAATAAAACGGGGCAGTCGTGGCGGGTTACGGGGGATATTACCGGTGTGTTTCCTGTCTCTCTCTTTCTCGACGCATTCTTTGAAGAGATCAGACGAAAAGAAGAAAGAAGAAGGGTTAGACAAGACTAACGAAAATGAATGCACAGACTCCTGGTCCCGAATCGTCGAAATCGCCAACGAGAACTCCTTTTACATGGAATACGCCGATTTCTGGGGCCACCCAGACCCAGACATGCTAGAGGTCGGTAACGGCGATCTAACGCTCGAGGAGAACAGGGCGCATTTTGCGCTGTGGGCGGCGATGAAGTCGCCTCTGATTATCGGGACCAGCGTACGCTTCTCCATCCTCTTCCTACCTTCCTTTCTCTCTCCCCCCTCGCGTTCTGCTGTCCTTCAAGAGATAAGTAAAGTCTCTAACTAAGTTAAAAGCTCGACAAAATCGACCCCGACCATCTCGCGATTCTCAAAAACAAATACCTTCTCGCCTTCAACCAGGACCCTATCATCGGCCGACCCGCCTACCCCTACAAATGGGGCTACAACGACGACCACACGTTTGACCCTGCCCATCCGGCAGAGTATTGGTCTGGGCCGTCGTCTACGCTGAAGGGGACGCTGGTGCTGATGTTTAACTCGGAGGGGGAGAAGAAGACGCGGACGGCGGTTTGGAGTGAGGTTCCGGAGTTGGCGGGTGGTGAGCAGAGGGATGATAGACACCAAAGCGATGTTAAGGGCAAGGGGTTCCAGGTGACTGATGTGTGGACTGGGAAGGATCTGGGCTGCATTGAGGATCAGTATGAGGTTGAGCTGGAGAGTCATGATATCGCTGCGCTGGTTGTGGAGGGTGCTTGTTGATTTCTTTGAGAATTGATCTGGGCTGATTAGGCTGTGTGGTATGGGAGGGTAAAATGAGTGCCAGTTATGAAAACATGTTTCTCATACACTGGGGAAATATCTACCACTAGTCAGGATACAGAATGGAATTCTGTTGTGAGACATATCAATAGTCAATCAATAAGACGGTGTAAATTCGATGAGATAAATACGAGCAAAATAATATGATCAGCTCTCGACCAACTGAAAACCGCAATGACAAATATATATCCCAGAAAAAAAAAGTCACCCAAAAGACAGCCAATATAGGGTATATCTCATTATAACATTATCCAACCAACATTCCTCACTGAGGTGTCCCAGTGAAGATAAGCAACACCACCTGGCGATTACCGCCACAGATCCTGACGACTGTCGCGTCTCCAGCCCCCGCTGCTCTTCGGACGCCCGTCCTCCACAGGTATGGCCAGGAACCCGCCAAAGCCGTTACCAACCAAGGTGCTCTTTCTCGCTTCGCCGCCCCAGTTGCGGCTGAGCTGCGCGTCGTGGAGACTGACGGGTCGGGTGGTGCTGTCGCGACGGCCTCGGGTCGACGGTGGTTCGTAGGGGGTGAAGTTCCACTCTAGTTCGTCCAAGCCCTTGCTGTATATATCGAGTGGGCGCGAGAGGACCCCGCTCGCGAGTTGAGGCCCGCTGTCGCCGCCCCCAAAGAGACGCGGAGGTGGCAGCAGGAGCAGGGCTTCCGGTAAGTCGGCGTCGCGGACGTACAATTGCCGCAAAACTGGCAGGGAATTGGATACCAGTGACCCGATCAGGTAGGTATAGTAGGACGCTGAAACAGGTGGTAGCCCGTAGGAACCGTTGGGCGACGTGATCTCGTAATGGAGTAACTCCAAGGACCGAGATGTCAGGGGCGGTACCTTCTCCGCAGGGAATGATCGGGTCACTTCCTGGACTATCGAGAAACTGCGCAGGTTCGGCGCGGCTGGGAGGATGTGATAGACCCCCGACGGCACGACACCGGTGGATGTCAGATTTAAGGAATTCAGAGATTTGCGGCACTCCGGTACGGAGAAGACGGCGGCAAGCCCGCTGGCGGTGACATTCGGCATATCGCGAAGAGTGAGTTTCTGGACCGGAGGGAATGGCGGTAGTGCTTGCGAGGCAGCAAAGGCGGAGTCGTCCAGCCAGGGAAGATCGTCCAGCGTCAATTCGCGAAGCCTGGGGAATGACCCCAGACCCGCCCGAAGCATCACCGGCTCGACGTGGAGCCGGGTGAGCTCCAGGACCTCCAGATTCATCCACAGATGGGATCCTGGCAATTGGGAGAAGCTCCCTTCGGACCCCTGATTATAGGTCATGCGGCGGATGTCGGGGCAGCGGGCCATCAGCTCCTGCTTCAAGGCCAGACACGATCCGTCGTCGCTGTATAAACCCGCGGGAAGATCGACGTAGCGCAGGTTCGGCAAGACGGAGATGGTGCGGGCGATTTCACCCTTGTTCGCTTCACGGGTCATGTACGGCATGCGAAGAGACAAGACCATGTTGCCGAGCCCCTGCGACTGCCGGACCGAGCGCATGAAGATTGTCAAACGGACTTGTGGAGCATCAATCGGATCCCCATTGCGGTCGAAGACAGAGCGGCGTTTTCGCTTGGCAGCTAACTGCACCTCGAGCTCACAGTAGTGAACTGGATCGATTCGAACATGAGCGTACCTGTTGCGGGGCAAAGAAAACAGTCGATATCAGTCAGGCAGGCCACAAGACAATCAATTCGCTTGCAGATTAGGTGCATACAGTAACGCTCGCGCGTCCAGATACCAATGCTTGCACGCTAACGCGCAGTGGGCCAGATCCCGCATGTCACAAAGCATGCAACCATCCTCCGTCATGGACTCCTCGGAGGTATCATAGCTGGTATCAACGGCGTGTGGACAAACGAAGGCGAAAATTCGGGCTAACACCGGTCGGGGGAGTTTCTTGGTATAGTCGAGACCGCGCCGGGGCACCGGGGGGATGTCATCGTGGTGGCGGTAACCATCGATGCGGAGAGAGTCGCTATTCCCCGCACGGCTACGGCTTTTCGACCGCCTGCGAAATCGGCTCAGGAATCCCATGATGGGGGGACCGGCATGGGAAGAAACGCTGTGGGATGACCGATGAGGTCTAAATGGGACGGGGGTGGGTGGAAGGAAAGAAGTGGGGGGACGGGGGGATGAAGAATGCTAAAAGGAATGAGAATGGGGGAAAGAAAGAGAGAGGCTGATTAGCGAGAAGGAGGGTGGAAGAAGAGCCCGAAAGGCAGTGATGAGCGGGGGGGATTTGGCTGCATGTACCCGCCAGCTCAGATTCCCAGACTTTGGATTCCCTTTGTACCTGCAATTTCTTTGGCTCCTTTCAGTTGGGAGATGGAGATGTTCCTGTCAATGTCTATCCAGTCTCCAATCTCCACCTCCTGACGGGGCAAAAGGTTTGTTTTTGTCAAATCCACCCCTGGTCGGGGTCCGTTCTTGGTCCGATCGATTCAACCCTGCTCCTCAACCTGGACACTTATTCCTTTCACAAGGGAGTATAGCTTAGTTCGCCCGATGGTATTTATAGCAGCCTATCAAGGGAGTGATGGAAGTGGGAAAGACCATGATGGCTGCAACGCCCCCCGTCCCAGTTAGGGGCCGCAAGAACACGCAGGCGGGTGTTTCAGCCTGGCGGTTAGTTCCTGCGGTGGTTGGCCCACCATGGTGGAGCCTGGTCGGGGGATCAGTCAATTGTCAGGTCTTTCAAACCTTCAAGATATTGGTTCTGGATTGGCAAGTTGATTGAGCGATTTTAGACCGAAAAATAGCTTTTCTACTCGGACACCGACCTTGCTAATCGGGGTTGCTAAAAAGTGACGTGAGATTAGATACTATATAACTTGGGGTTCCGGCAAGATACTAGCTGTGGCCAGGCGAGTCTATTCAGTCCACGGTACAGATACTCTTTCTCTTATTCCAAATTCCTCCATCCCAATGACCTACACAGGAATCTGGAGCTTGGAAATCTTCAACATTAAGCAATTTCCGAGGTCACACAATGGAAGGGCCACAGATGACGGATGACAGTGGCAATCATGCTTTCTTGACAAACCATGACATCATGGTCCTTGCCCAGTTCTCAGAACCAGTCACTGTCATACCTACAGCTGTACCGAATACTCGCGTAGACAAAGCAGAATGAATTCCAGACTATTAATTCAATTGAAGCCCAGACACACTCTATCTCCTCGCCAGTCATCCTGGTTACCACGTCTGAATACTATCTTCCTTTGTAGGCCTAACACACACACGACTGCCAAAGCTAAACATCCGATATCTCCCCCGACATCACGACAATCGCATAACATGGCAGACGATGTGCCAGACGGCGGAGATCCCCTGCCCAATCCCGGTATCGGTCCCGGGTCAGTCGAGAAATACCCTAAAGAACTAGCATGGCAGACCCGGCCTCCGTATCGCGTTGTCTCGCGCGACGAGTTTGGCGAAGTGAAGTGGAAAGGCGGATGCCACTGCGGCCGGGTCACCTACGAGGTGAACAGGGAGCAACCGTTGAAGGCCAAATATTGCCATTGCCGGGGATGTCAAGTGGTACATGGTATGTGACCCTCTCGAGACCCATCGAAGTAACATCGATGATATCTTGGCTCGCTAACCCTGTTCTCCAGGTGCACCCTTTCAGTGGGCGGCCATCTTCCCGAAATCCGACATCTCGTTCACCAAGGGGGCGGGTGGCCTCGCATTCTATGCCTCTGATCGCAAGACGACCGAGTACAAGCTTCCCACCAAAGTGTCGTGTGCGTACTGTCGGACCCCGATCATGGACGAGGGAAGGAACATGTGCCTTCTCTTCCCCGGGACGATCCACTTTGGCGACTCAAAAGAGGAACAAGAGGCATGGATGAAAGCGTTTGAAATAAGGTATGCGTGCAATTTCGGTTCTCTAGATGCGGATCTCTGTCTAACCGTACACACAGTTGCCATATATTTTATAGCCAGAGGTCTCTCAATATCCTTGACGGAAAGCAAAAGTGGTCGGGAATGGATGAGAATAGTGACCTTGTCGATGACTATGGGAAGAAGATATAATACTCTCACTGGAGTAGTTATGGGGGGCACGAAATGATATTTATAATGTAACAAAACTGTTGGGATTGAACTGATGGGCATAGTCCGACGGACCTGTTTATTATGTCGGCTTTAAATGTATTATGAAATAGAACACCAATGTTAAGGACAGGATGGGCAATGGGCAGAAGTACAAATCACAGAGCAAAGCTTTGTTCATAAAGACAGATCAAATTCTATAGAATGTAGTATTCTTTTTTGGATACTAGCATGTTCATTACTTTCTACTCGTCAATCCAGATCACAGTTCCATCGAGGACACAATTCACAATTGTGTAGTCCCACCCAAAGATTGACATACTTTAGGAACTGATTATACATCTTTTACCACTAAGATTTCAACTCATGTCCAAATGAATTAAAAACAGTTCAAAGTAGTAATCATTATACACTCAATGAAAAATAATGATACATCTACCAAGGTCCTGGTGTGCTGCATGGCTAGCTTGAAATGTTATTGTACATGTATACTTCACTGGTACTACTAGATTGGTTACATGTGAGTATCTATCACTATTTATGACCATGTCACCCTGGAATGATACTGTATATATCATGCTGTCATCTAATCATCGAGCTATCACTGATATGAGCTCTATAAATCTAGTTAGCCACAGTTGGTTTTGTCATTCCTGAATCACTTTAAGCCTGGCTTGATAATTTCTGAGTGATGAACAAAGAAGGACTCCTCTTTTTTCTGCTGGCATAAATATGATACCGTGGAACCTTCAGAGGAGAGAGACTATCCATCCTCACAGACTCTCGAGTCAGCACACCTACTCCAAAGTCCAATTTCTTCAATCAACAGCCTCTCCCATCGAAGTCTACTGGTAGACAACTTTGTTTCTTCACGCAAGATGCCTTACAAATCGGAGTGGACCATCGACATCCCAGATACACACCTGGCGTCTCTGATGTTCACTTCTCCCACTCAGCCCCTGTCAGACTCAGCGAGACTTCTAGTTGATACCGAGAAGCCAGACACTCACTTCTTCACCCCGGCCTCGTTTCGCCTCATGTGCCAGCGCCTTGCTCTCGGTCTGCAGCAACATGGGATCGAACCAGGCGATAGAGTTCTTTATGCCTCTGGAAACACTCTCCTCTATCCAGTCATCTTCGTGGGAATCATCATGGCCGGCGGTGTGTTTACAGGGGCCAACCCGACCTACGTCCCGCGCGAACTCGCATATCAAATCAAGGACTCCGAACCAACAATCTTTCTGTGCTCAAAGCAAATCCTCCCCAATGGTCTAAGAGCAGCCAGTATTGCAGGATTGGCCCCAAGCCAAATTTATGTCGTCGACGAACTCCCGAATGGGGAGATGCAAGAGGAAAATAGCTGCCGCTGGTGGGGCGAACTCCTCGCCCCAGAGGACACGGCACGTCACTTCGCATGGAATCCTCTTTCCGCTCCAGGAGAGGCTGCAAATACGCTTCTTGCCCTGAACTACTCCAGCGGCACGGCCGGTCTGCCCAAGGGAGTGGAGATAACACATCGAAACTATGTTGCCAACATCCTCCAGGGGATCCATAATTACAAGCTCGGTGAAGAGATGGCTGAGAGATGCATCATATACCTACCGATGTACCATTCGTTGTCGCAGAGACGAATAATCACGAGTCTTATTCAAAGATCTGAAGTGTTCATCATGCCGAAGTACGAGTTCAAGTCTCTTTTGGAGAACATCCAACGGTTCAGAATCACTATGCTGGTGATGGTTCCCCCTGTTGCTGTGTCTCTGGCTAAGAGCCCTATTGTCAAGAATTATGATCTAGGCAGTGTCAAAATAGCTGGATCAGGCGCAGCCCCGCTCACGAAGGAGATATGTGAGACGATCGAGGAAATGTTGAACAACCAAGTGGCTATCAAACAGGGCTGGGGAATGACAGAGTAAGTTCATGAGAGGCATATATATATTCTTTGATTCGTTTAATGACCGTTCCCATCTCTAGGTTGACTTGCTCCTTTCTTTTTTGGATTCCTGGAAAGTATTATCCACGATCATCAGTTGGAGAACCCCTAGCCAACTGCGAGGCCAAAATCATGAACGAGGATGGGACGGCCGAGCTGGGCGTAAACCAGCGGGGTGAACTGTGGGCACGGGGCCCTAATGTCATGCGCGGTTACTGGAAGAACCCCCAGGCTACGGCGGACACAGTCACCCCGGATGGATGGTTGAAGTCTGGTGATGTTGCCTATGTCGACGAAGAGGGTCGCTTTTTTATTGTGGACAGACTCAAGGTAAGATTTCCTATGGCCACTGACAGATTGCACTTTATGCTCAAGATGCTCATGGCTTCTCATAGGAATTGATCAAAGTAAAAGGTGTTCAAGTGGCACCTGCAGAATTGGAGGGTCTATTGCTGCATCATCCCGCTGTTGCTGATGCCGCAGTCACAGCACTTAAGATGTCAGTATTCCACTATCCATTGCGTTACCCATGACTATCTATTAGTACTGACGCATTATTCTATGCGTAGCGATAGCGGGGAGTATCCTCGAGCCTATGTCGTTTTGAAGGCAGGACAACACGCCACCGATAAAGAGATAATGGACTTCGTCAAGGAAAGGGTGGCTCCCGTCAAGCAGCTGACCGGCGGTGTCGTGTTTTTGGATGCGATCCCTAAGAACGCTTCAGGGAAGATCTTGAGGAATGTACTCAAGAAGATGGCTCAGAGAGAGGCTAAAACATTTTCGGTTGCATCTAAACTGTGATATGAGCGCGAGATGCGTACATGGGAATATCCAGATTGAAGTATGGGAGGACGACGGGAAATTGAATGGAAAGGCAGAAAAGTGAGTGGGCCAGAAGAGGCTATGAAGGAAGAACGGAAACATCAATGTAGCTGGTACATAGTTATGAAAATCTAATTTCCAACCCCGTCATGGTATGTAAATGCTTGTACAATGGCTAAGATAATATTGAGAAGATCAAGGAGGATGTTGTAACGGATAGAGGGCAGACTGGTGGGTTCAACGCAAGCTGGATGATATTGTATAATATCTTGAGATCATGATGTTTCCAGGCAATTCTTTACATTTCTGCCTTGATAGACTAAAGTATATATTTATGGTAGATCTAGAGGGCTACCCATTCATCAAGAGCCGAACATGGTGTATCGCAGGGCCGTCAAACCTAGCGTTCTATAAATGACGTCGATCGGTTTCCCCACCCCTCATTCTTTTCTCCTCACTCGTCCATAACTCCCATTTCTCCTGCAACACTCTTCGCGCCAAATAGCCATTACATGTATGTATATCCCCAGACTTTTTAGTAACTGGGTGTCTTTCAACGACATCAACGACATCTACTCCTCCTTTCCACATCCAACATTCTCTACACCAAACAAAAAAAAAACCACCCCAACCCCACCAACAGCGCCCATATCAAAACGCAATTGAATTACACTAACCAACCAAAACCCAGACCCAACACATCAATCCCATCCAGCGAACTTCCCAGAAAGCGAATAGTGCATATAATGTCGTGGTTCCAAAAAACTTTCACCCTCCCCCCGCACTCCCGCGGCTCCTACCTCGTCACCGACGAAGTCATCTCCCAACTCCCTGAGCTCCGCGACTACAAAGTCGGCCTGCTGAACCTGTTCGTGCAGCACACGAGCTGCGCGCTGTCACTGAACGAGAACTGGGACGATGACGTGCGCGCTGATATGACTGATGCGCTGGAGCGGGTTGCGCCTTATGATCGCAAGGGGAACCTTTATCGGCATAGTGCTGAGGGGGAGGACGATATGCCTGTATGTTTTGTTTTTCTTCTCCTTTTTGGTTCCATTTAGTGATTGTGGTGGGTGGAGGGATTGCTAATTGTTTGAAAATAGGCGCATATCAAGTCCTCTCTTATTGGTGCTAGTGTGTCTATCCCGATCTCGAATGGTCGTCTTGCGACGGGTACTTGGCAGGGGATTTGGTATCTTGAGTTCCGGGCTTCGCGGCACTCGCGCAAGGTGGTTGCTACGATCCAGGGAGAGAAAGCTTGACTCGCTGGGTCGGAGGGTGATACTGAGGGGACGAAGTCTATGATGTGATGATTGTATGAGATAGCCGGGGGCACTTGGTATGATGAAAGCGAGGGCTGCAGAGTTATATATCAGGCAATATAATGAGAAGAGTAGCAAAGGCGATCAACATATATTGTCGGTCGCAATCGCCGTCCATAAGGAGTTGGAATTACTGTCGTTGTAGGGCTAGGGAAGAACAAGTTTTACTCTAACTCATGGAACAGTACACTCTGTACAGGTAGTCGCCCTTGTCAGGCACATAATAGAACAAACAATCATCAACGCCAAGAAAACAACCAATTTACCGCTGCTCCAGGCCACCGTCGGTCACCCGCTGCTCCTCGTTCACCTCCGCAGCGTCGCCCACGGGCTCAAGGGGGTAGCTGGTGGCAGGGAGAGACTTGAGGTATGCGCGGTGCTTCTCCTGGGCCTGTAAAACATATAGGTTAGTAACCTAGCCTCTAAAACCACACGGTTATAAACCAAGGGGGGAGGACATACAAAGGGCACACCGCAGTAACCGCAGGTCGCAATCTCGGGCTTGTCGGTATTGATGTAGATTTGGGGATGGCCGAGGGGACCACCACCGCCATCGCATCTGACGACACGCTTCTTCGTCCAGCGGACGGGCTGTCTGTGGATGAGCTCAATGGCGGCGTAGGGTTGGGGCTAGTGGAAAACTCGTTAGCATGTGTATACACCAATTGACAGCTGGGACCGGTCCAATGCGCAGAGCACAGCATAATAAATTGATATAGAAAGAACAACGGCAAGAATCTCACCTGCAATCCCATGATGGTCTGCTCAAAACGCGGCCCCGTCATGGCCTGCTCCCGGGGCTGCTGGCTGGCCGCCCAGGTGTTGGCCCGGTTAGGAGCCTGCAGACTACGGATCCGCTCGCCGACCTCGGGGTCCTCCTGGAGAGTGCCCTCGAACGAAACAGCGTCAACAGGGGTCGCATCGGTGACGGACACATTCGGGACTCGCTTGGGCGGGTTCGGATCGTTGGCTTCGCGCAGACGAGGGGCAGTGGTCGTGTAGCTGGCCCGGGCGACAAAACGGGGGCTCCATGCGGCCTTGGAGAGAGCCGCCATGCGGCTTCGAGCGCAGGACATCATCTTCGGCGTGTGATCGCGAGTCGACGACTGGTGGGGAAACGGGGAGGATGCCGGGAGTGACGGAGGTGAGGTTGAATAATTAGTAGCAGTTGAAGGGCGAGGTTTACTTAGCGGCCGCTCGAGGGAAGTTGGCCAATCGGCCGGGCTCCTATGCTGGTTCTGCCACTTCCGAATCTGGTTCCGCCTTTGGTCGATGTTTTTTTCGTCCTCTCATGTTCGTTGCATTACCACGTTCACAAATCTTCGCGCTGGGCTTCTTTTGTTTTCTTTTGAGGGTCATATTCCTGTTGTAGGTTATTATCAACAATGGCGGGCGCATCTCCAGCTGGCTCTAAGCCAGAAAAAACAATGTCGTCGCGACTGCTCACTATGAAGGTATGTGCCTCATAAAATACGTTATCTACGCGCTTTTTACACAGTCTAACGAGCTATACAGTTCATGCAACGCGCTGCTGCCACAGCCGCTGCGAAGGAATCTTCTCAAAACCCCTCGAGCACTGATCCCAATACGCCCTCGCCCAAACGACAGAGAGTTGGCTACAACGACGCAACGCAGAGCCCCTCCGGTACACCTACATCTGATCTAGAAGCCATATCGGCTGCCCTAGCCGCCGAGGAAGAGAAGCGCCGGGAGGCGGTTGCAAAACAGGCTGCGGAGGCGGGCGAATCCGAGTGGGTGCTCGACTACGGCAATGACGCTTTCAATCAGTATCCATCGCAACCGCCTGTGGTTGTGGCCGATTCGTTGGACGTTGATAGTGAGGATATGGATTATGGAGGACGTCAATCGTACGGGAACTATAAGAAAAAGAACAAGAACTGGGTATGTCTTTTCTTTTCTCAATTGCTGTTGTAATGCGACACTCATGCTAACTGCTCCGGAAATGAAGAAGGCGAACAAAGACCCAGAGTCTGGAAGCGAGGAAGAGGACGACGAGGATATTGACGCCTTGATAGAAAGTGGCAAGAAAAAGGCGAATAAGAAAGACAAGGACAGGACCCACCAGCCGGTCAGGTTGTCTAAACTCACGTCGATATCCGGCGGGGGTCAAGTTCAAGGCGGGGGGATGAGCAAATCCCAGAAGAAGCGCAAGAGCAAGTAATCTCGACTTTGTCATCTACCAAATCAACAGCCGTGCGGAGGAGGATACTCAATACGCCATCCTCCATCAATGGCTACACGTCTGGGTCTTCGTGATGCCGGTCATGCCGATATACCCAAACGACAGGAGATGCGCAGTATCATCCTTGTCTTTACTGGCGAACGCTTCATCGCAAAACAGCGCGCTCGGTCCTATTTCGATCTTTTGAATCTCGCGCAGCGCGCTCCCGAACAAGGAACACGTTTCCCGCCTTGACCTGAATCTTCGCCCCGACAGACGACCCTTGGAACTTGTCTGCCGGTGCATCACTTGCTCCAAACGCAGGGATCCTGATCACACGTGATGCAAACATGCGACAACGTTCCTTGTCGCCAGATTTGAGACGGAGAAAACTGGGTTCGCGGTTGCGAGCAGGCTGATCAAGTAGTTCTTCCGCGAACGGAAACCTCAGCGTGGGCGGTTTGAGGATCCCTTTCGGATGAGAGCGAGGTGCATTATCCGGGAGATGGGAGGATTCTATCTACTGAGCGGATACCGAGTATTTAGTCTCGGCCACACCTTAGCTTCCAAGAACAGTTCCTACAACCACTGACCTTATTCTCGAGTATTCTGCGTATTTCACTTGCTTCTGTAAATCCAAGGTCTGTCGAACTTAGCTTCAATCCGTATAAGACTTGAGAGTGTATGACATACCTATACCCCTCCGAAGCGTCCTCCCCTGCCGCCGTTCTCTAAAGAAGCCGCCAGAGCTTACTTGTCGTGGGAGTGTAACACGGGCACCGTCTTCTCCCTGGAGCTTGAGACGCACTAGACTAGGGGGCTCGGTCTGTAAGTCGACCGATAAGCTGTCGCGGCACAAGCAGGGGAACGACATCAGCTATGGTTGTACTCTGGAGGTGTACAAGTGTTAAAAATGAGAGGAACTGGAAGAATTGAAGAGTTTGGGTCATGAACGAAGTTTAGATGAACGTTGACTGTGCGCGTTGCGGACTATGAGCAAATAATACCAGTAGCAGTAGGTAGGTAGTAAGTGAGGTGTTTTGCACGGTTTCAATCTATCAGCCAGATCAGACTGCACGAGATATTCTGTAGTAGATTCTAGTATACCGAGAGTGATTGGAATATTTTATACACAGATCTATCCATAAAACCTAACCCAGCTCATAACCCTACAAGAACAAGCACAAAAGTAAAACAGCAAAAAAGACATCAATCACAACTTCGCCTTCTCCTCCCCAATCTTCCTCTCCCACCCCCTCTGCACCGAATAATTCAGCGCCAAATTCCAAGCCGCAACACCCGCCCCCAAAGGCGGCGCCAGCAGCAAAGCCCAAGCCCACCACCTCGGACTCCTCCCACTGACCATCCCCATCGCACGACTCACCTCCCTCTCCAGATCGCCCCTATCCCCATCATTCCAGACGATGACCGCGCGCGCAGAGTCCGTGCCCCGAAACTCCGCCTGCCGCACCTTCCCCAGCACGTCGCCCTGGCTGCGCACCCTGTTCTCCGCATCCTCGGCAGACAGGTGCGGGTCGCGCGCGCGCAGCCGCGCCATTTGCACGGCCGGATCCTTCACGCCTACTACCATGACGGTCCCGCACATGACGTCCATGCCTGCTTCGAAGAGCAGCGGGACGTCGAGCACGACGGCCCATTGGCCGCGTAGGTAGTGGTAGACGAGGTCTTTGTAGATTTCTTTCCGCACGGCTGGGTGCACGATTTTGTTGAGGACGGCGCGGTCTCGTTTGCGCTCGTCGGTTGTGCCGAAGACGCGCCGGCCTAGGACGGGGCGGTTGAGTGGGCGGCCTGCGCTTGGGTCTGTGGTGGTGTTGTTGTTGTCGGCATCTGGGGGGAGGAGGAGGTCGGGGGTGCTGGGTCCAAAGTATTCGACTATGGCTTTGTAGCCTGGGGTACCTGGTTCGACGACCTTGCGGGCGAGGATGTCGGTGTCGATGATGGGGAGGGAGTAGGGGGGTGCGGAGAGGATGGAGGAGACGGTTGATTTTCCCGTGGCGATTGAGCCGGTGAGGCCGATGATGAGCATTTTGAATGTGCTTGTGTATGTGCTGTTCTTAGGGGAGTTGTTGTTGTATTGGGGGTTGGTTTGGCTGCAGCTGATGATATTGCCGCTCTGCTGTAGCTGTGGCCTGTGCGGTGGGATGCAAGGAACGTCACTAGCACTAGCACAGCGCGATTTACTATGGCTGTGTTTTTTTTTTTTGTGGAAATGCACGATGTGATATCGCAACCACCTTACTAGTGGAGTGGATTGAGTGGGAAAGATGATGATGGGGTTACAATGCGGGGAGATTGCATGATGCCGCAACCTCGGCCTACTTGTCACCGCCTACGTAGGCAAGCGGAAAGGGCGATGCTATGAGAAGACAGCACGAGCTATAGAGACATTCAATGATCATTTGTGTATAGATAAGCGCTGAAAGAAAAGAAGAAAAAAAAACGCCATTTAATATACAAGGAATGGGGTATTCAACTGTTTTGTCCTTCGCATATTCTTACAATTCATCGGGATGCTCTGAATCCCAGCCACCACGCACCCACCAGAGCTGTGAAATAGCAATGCTTCAAAAAATGAGTCCGGGATACTCTTGATTCGAGCCTTCAAAACACGCACATTGAACGTCAGGCGTGCTGAAATTGAGTGGCCTCAGTGCTGGTGGCGGAGGCGCATATAGCACCTGTTGTTCATCTGGCCAAATGGGATTGAATTCACCCGCGAGGGTAGACGCCATCAACGCTCAAAGCGACCACAAATTCCCGACAGGTATTGCGCTTGTGTAGAGACCAACAGACGAACCGCTCCACGAGGGGGTTAGCCCTTTGTCTCGGCCTGGATGATTAATGATATGTCGGCAGTGCAAATCTGACAAGCTATGTAGAAAATCACGCCTCTGGAAGACCACCTAAGCTGGGATCTTGGGGCTGACCATTCCATCCAATACGGGGCCAGCCCTTTGGTAGAGAAGAGTAGGGAGGCAGCGCATAGCGGTCGTCGCACTCGCCTTCATCGGGACAATGCAAGTAACAAAGGCCAAACACCTTGCAATAGCATTCCTCCGCTGTTGGGCAATAGATGGGTTCTTTGCCAAAGATCACTGCCAAGAAGTTAGCACGAGCTCACCAATCCGCAATGCCACCAACGGGGTCGCGTCAGTAGGGTAGGAAGTAAACATACTATGCCACGAGTATTCCATGATGCGCCCACTCAGCTCGTCCGGGAGCGTCGTTGTCGCCAGCCAATCCCGGAACCTAATGTAATCGCTCTTGGGTCGCTCGAGGATCTTCCATCGTGTAGCACCAAACTGCGCACAGCACGACACCCCTACTTCCTGCGGCACTGGCTCTCCGGGAAAGAGCTCCATAAATCCAGTTTTGAAGTACTCGCCGGCGTGGACGTCATTTCGATGGGTATCCGTAAGCGGGTGGATCTCGACGGGACAACCAAGCACCCAGGCGCAACGTAAATTCACATAGCCTTGTTTCTGAAGGTAGGGGACCTGGAACTTTTGGAGCATCGGGACGCCGTCGTAGTAGGGGTCGTCGTTGTGCCACTGGAAGCGCTGCGAATGGATGAAGAGGATCGACTCTGGGAGATTGTCGTAGTTATCGATGATATACCTATGGAACCGCACTTGTCAGATCATGTCGACGGTCACAAGGAACCGAATCTCTCACGTCAGGTAAACCATCGACTCTCTTCCCTTGTTCTGCTTCACCGTCAGTGGCGCGTTCTTGTCGTCGACCACGTAGAGATTTTTGTCCCAATCCGGAAAGTTCTCAAACAGCCAGGACACATCGTCACGTTTCATGCTCGCCACGACCATGGCGTTGTCGGCCTTTCGAGAGGGCGCCCGCTGCGACGGGGTTGCCATCCCTGACCGCGGGTCCCGGTAGGGGCCTCTCTGCGCTGAGCCATCGTGCGTAAGCACTGCTTGTTGTTGCCGGCGCTCCGAAGCGTTTGCGAAAAAGAGAAAGTAGATCGCGCAGACAAGAACGATCGTGAGGAAGATGGCCTTTTCTTGGTTGCGACGGCGGCGATTCGAAGGTCCGCTACGGCAGCAGAACATGGTGGCAGTGGATGTGGTGTTGCGGACTCTTTTATCGGGGGGTGAATCGGTATTTGACAGGTCTTTATGTATTAATGTTCGGCGTGTGTTAGGTGAACGCAAGTGAAACCATGTTTAGGCATCCGTTGGGGAAATGTGGCTGGATGGCCTGAAGCTTTGCAGGAGCGGAGAACAGTTTACTGCCAGCGTTTCGAAGGGGGGGGGGTATGTTCAGAAATCAATAGTGTGGAAACATCCAAAGTAAACACGAGAGTGAATTGGAGAGGAGACAATGACCGGCGTCAAGAGATAATGGGAAAGTGAGGAGATGGTTGGTTGCGTTGCGAGTAATTTTGTGTACGAGGCATTAACCAACAACCAGCTGGCCGCTTTTAGTTCCTACTGGGGGGAGCCCTGGAGGGAGTGGAGCCCGCGATCTGCACCCGCCACTTGCGCAACGTAACAGTAATGAGATTAATTCTCCTGCCAAGATCTACACTTTCATCTTCCATTACCTAACCTCCTAGTCTACATACATCAACAGGTGTCGATTTCTACAAAGTACCATGAATGCGCGGGAATACTCAGGTCTAACCCCGACCCAGCGTTTCCTTCATCCGAACCCACCCCGTCGATCACTTTGATATCGGACGAAGTAACCTTCATGTCGTTTTCTGTGGTGATCCAGTACTCCGGACTGAAATGTGTATACCCCAAGATATGACTCGGCAGTCGGGGGACAATATCGTTCGAATGCGTAACGCGGTAATTCGGTCCATGCGCCGTGATATACTCCGCCAGCTCGGTATTTCCCACCCGGGGGGAACCATAAGTGTACTACCAGTTTGATCAGCCGGTGGAACCGTGATTAAACAAGAGAAGATAGAGATGCATGATCAGCGAGCAAGGCCGACACGCTTCCGACTCACCAAGTCAATCTTATGTCCTGCATTCCGCAAAGCGACCGCCCCCAACGTCGCTAGGGCAGCGCCGTAGCTATGCCCGGTGAGCGTCACGGAGTAATCCGGGCGGGCCTTGAGGGCCAAATCAATCTCCTCTGTCAAGTTCTTCTCGACAGTCTGCCACGACTTCCAGAATCCGCGGTGCGCACTACAGCCGAGGCACAACTCATCATCCAGTTCTTCCAGGACGAGATCCAAGTTCGCGATCCAAGTGCTGAGGCTCCTGGTGCCGCGGAACGACAGCACCAAGCGCTTGTTAGTCGCGTCAGCAGCCAGAAACCCAGCGACGTCCCCGTATTCATATCTCCTGCAGCTCCTGATCAGCTATCACTTATCAATATTCCGAGAACTAACGCACCCGTGAAATTCAGTAAGGGTTTTGGTGTCGGCCTTTTCCACTGTTGGACAGTTGCCCTTCTGGCACCGCACTTTGGTCCCGGGGGACTCGAGGTTTTCGTCGCAGTACGCTGCGGCAGCATACTCTGCGAAGAGAGTAAATTCTTTCAAGCTCTCGAGAGACACGTCTGCGGCAGTCAGTCCTTGAGAGCACGAAATCGATATCACGCTTACGTACCCCGAGTATCTAGCTGAGCCGGTACTGCTGCGCTCAGCGCCGCACAAGCAACCAAGCACACACAAAGTATGCCACCTAGTCCGAACATGCCTAACGTAGAGACCGCAATACGAACAGAAATACTCAGAGAGAAAAAGGAAAGGGCGCGACGGGCACAAAAGACCAAGGGGTAAAACAAAGGACCCCTGCCAGGCTATTGAATAATACGTATCACACCAGGGCGCCTCGATCGGAGCGCAAGTGCCTTAATTGTTCGATCGGGCATAGAGATGCAGGGTATCTTGGAGACTGATATACCACAGAGCCCCCTTTTAAGGAACTCGACAGGGAGCCAATCCCCCGACCATTCTACATACCACCCATCCACCCCCTTGATAGGTAGCGTCCACACAGTAAATATCAGACGCTCTCAGCCATTCATGTCCGACGAATAGAAGCTCGAAACAACGAAACCAAAAGCCTCTCACGAGAACACAAATTGACTAGCTCGGTCAGGGTGTGGCTTGATTACATTCCCTCCGTGCTGACTCCATCGTCGAAGTGCCAAAATAGATCAGACCTATCCGGTTACCCACATAGACTACTCGATCATTGCATTCCCGGACGTCCCTGACAGTAAGATAACGGGGGGGCAATGAGTCTGGGCAAATAACAATCCAGCAATGGAACCTGATCATTGGAGAGGATCTCGTGCTGCCATTTGAGTGGATGGGGACTTATCAGGAATGCCCGTCCTGTAGGGGTCAAGATGTCATCTGCCAAGGGTCATGCTCGGTGCTGGGGCTGGACGATCGGAGTGATACTTACTATCGTCTAAGTCGACAGTCCAACCATCTTGTGTTGATGTCTCCGGGTTGTTGATACTATTGGTGTACCCTAATGGTTTTGTATCGGCATGGTGACAATGAGCGAGAAGAAATGCATAGGATACTACCTACTAATTACTCCGTACACAAGTAAAGAAATAAACATCCACAAGACGAGACACATACCGAAGACCCCAGTCACGCTCTAAAGCTCTCTACTTTGGTCAAAACAACTTAGTATGGCTCCGATAGCATGGAAACCAAGCAAGCGCATGGAAGACCGTTCGGACAGCCTCCCCAACATTTTGGTTTCAAATAGAGCTTGTGGAACGGCGAGAATAAGCAATTCTATGAACACTGAAACAAACGGGCATGACCTACTATTTTGCTCTTTCCTTTGCATTTCTATTTCGCAGCAGTATACTTGTTTATACAGGTCGACTGATCGATTGATATGGGCCTGCGATCTAGGGCGTGAAAGACGGGTGTGCTTAGCTGGATGGCACCCTGTTTTTACTTGGGAAATCCATTTGATAGCTTCGCTGGGCCTACCCTGCAACGTCCTACAGGGTCTCTACCCTCCCCATGAAGAAAATATTCAATACTCCCGTATAATTCGCTGGATTTCACGAAGATCACCATCCTCTAGAAGATACACCAAGATAGACAAGTCGCTCCTGGAAACGCCGGCCTAAGAAAAAAACAAACAAACAAACAAACAAGCACATTGAGAGAAGACAGATTTTCAAGCCGCCAGTCGCATGAGTAATCTCACTGCGCAGTCTGGTCTCCGGTCTCCTGCCCATCAGCGTTATAATCCGCCATGCCTTCATCCTGGCTATCGCTCTGTCCAGCAAGCACCTTGGTCTTCGGATGCTCGCTATCAGACAACGGCGTCCCAGGGGTCGCGGCAACGACGTTGTCGTTCTCGTCGACGAACTCGAAATTGTAGCGCGAGAGGAGATGCGGGATGGCGGAGAGCTGGGGTCCATAGCGGGCGGTGTTGTCGTATAGCTCGAACAACGGGACGGCGAGGAGTTTCATGTTCTTGGGGACGGAGAGGACCTCTGCGGAATTAATTAGACCCCACACATGAATGACATAGACGCAGAGTAGGAAAAGAGACATACTTTTCTTGGGCAACTGGATGAAATAAAGCTTCTTGCACTCCTTCGGCCGGGTAACGTGCCCAGGCAGAAACGGGTACATGAAGGTCTCGAAATTCGGCCGCCACCACTGCGCCAGGGTGTCACCGATCTCCCAATCCTCGTTGACGCCTTCGCCCGAGAACTGCGACCCAACGGGCGCGAGACGCTCATTCAGCCGCTTCTTGAAGCCGTCGATTTCCTCGTCCTCAAAGTTGAGGTAGTCACCGGGTCTATAAATCATTGCACCATTAGCATACATCCCATATGCTATAGGATTGTGTAAATCTGAACATACAGCTTGAAAAAGGCATTCGCGATCTGCAGCATCAGCACATGCGGGTGGTTGTGTTCGTGGCAGACCAGCACGCCCTCGCAGGTCCGTCTCATGCCGTGGGTGTCATAATGTTCTTCCAACCGCTTGAGTCGCGCCAGGACCGATGGGTCTTCCTCTGGTTGTGTTTCCTTGGTGCCGAATGTGTAGTTGGACAGAGGGTAGAGGCGGATCGTCTCTGGTTGTTGTGCGGAGAAGGTCTTCGGGGTGATGGGGCTACTCGAGTATCGCTTTAGTATGGCGCGAATGAGGAGATGTGATACGATAGCTCCACGGGAGGACAAGCTCCTCTTGTAGGCTTCTGTGCGGGAGGCTGGGGTCAGGTCATCCTCTGGGGTGACTTACGGGTGAGAGCTCTGCATCGCTGTTTCGGTGGCCGTTGACATCTCGGCAGTGCTTTGATATAATATGGTGGAATGACCGGTACTGTTGCAGGAGGGACAGGAAATAACTAGGTGAGTTGAGCCACAGTGGGCTTTGTTGTCACTGCGATGCGGCGGGTTGGAGATAGTACGGAGCGGAGCATGGACGGAGCTAGAGGTGTTGCTGCGCGGTCGCGAAAACATTCAGCCGCCCCGAGGTGTGTACAGCTCTATATAGGTAAGAAGTAGTACATACTTGCAGCGCACGACTTACGACATAATAAAAGGCCATCTGTCCAGTATTCTAGTAATGAAATTTGGTATTCTACTTCTACACGGTGTTTAAAGATCGAATCTACTTGAGCTCGTGGCACCATGATCCGAATGCCCCACCCCCATCACCCACACCCATTCCCAAGTCACAACACCGAAAACAACATTAAAATGGACCCATTAAGGATTATCGTTGCAACATGCAGCAAAAAATATGTCTATCTAAAGTTTCGCATCAAAATCTTCATACTCGGTGAGGTCCGTAGCAGGGCTGGGACCCGCGCTGACAGCCAAGCGGGCCTTGAATTCGGGGACGTTGGTAATGTAAGTCGGGCCCTTGCCCTGCTTAGAACCATTGGCCGCTGCCGTCGAGTTGGTATTCTCATTCTCGTTCTTGGACACGAGTCCGAGTTGCTTGAGATGGAAGCCCAGGTTGCGTTCCGTCTGTGCCATCACCAGGTTGACTTGTTGCTCCGACAGGCTCATCTCGCCAATGAGGAAAGCCCTGAATGTATCCAGGACTGCGTTCTCGTCACCGGTCGAGATGTCGAGACCAGCAAACGCAGCGCTTAAACGATCCGTGTCCACCGCAAAGCCGTCGACCTCCAGCTGACTGCCCAGCAGCGAAACCAACTTGGCCTTCTTCTCCTGGGGGCTGGCCTTCGTGCCACCCTGGGCGTTCAGATGGATCGCGAGCTTAGCCCGTGTGGGGGACGCGGGATCCGCGTACTGCCTGTAGAACTCAATAAGGTCCGACTTGGTCAGAACGCGGACATTGGCAGCGTCATTTTCGTTCTGCACAAAGTCAAAGTACTCCGAGCCAATATGGTTCCAAAAGCGGGAAGTCTCGGAACTCAGGTTCTTCAGCTTCTCCAACCGCTTGTTGATAAGACTGCGTTTGTAGCCTTCAAACTCGTCTTCCGACATGTCCTCTAACTTCCTTCCAAAACCACGTAAAAAGTTGTTAATCCGAGATTCCAGATAGGCGGCTGTGCGCTCGCTTTGAATGATAACGCGATAGCCAATGGCCGTCGCCGCATAGCGGGCACCGCTCCACACAACGTATCCAAGCTGCTCCTTGCTGCGAAGCTGGTCGAAGGCGGGCTCATCGGTCATCTGGGCAAACAGCAACAGCTTCGCGCGGAGAACGTCGTCGGTCATGTCACCGATGGAGAGATAGTACTCGATGCAATGGTTGACATTGTCGGGATCCTTGAGGGTGCGCTCGTAGACATAGTCCGATCCCGGAGGGATAACCATGTTGCGTCGCAAGTTCCATTGGGACTGGGGCAAGGGGCGGCTCTGAAGGATCTTTTCGATGGAGTCGGTCATACGAAGTACATCCTCCTTGTACAGGTTCCCATGCGCCAGCACCTCGATGTGGTTCTGACGGAGAATTTGAGGGAAGAAGCACGAGATGTCCTCGGGTTCGATGTGCTCCAGCTCAGCAGCATATTGCTCGTTGGTCCAAGCTTTCTCTGCGGTCAGATACCGTGTGAAGTCGCCGACTTGGTAGAATGGCTGCTGGTACTCGGAGTTCTTGTAAGAACGAGACAGGCGCTCCTTGATGACATTGAATCTGTCCGGGTTAACAACCAGGTCACGCATGCTCGTGAGCACCTTGTCCAAAAGCACGGCCATCTTGTCATTGTATCCACCGACGGATATATCGAGTCCGAAAATGCTGGCAGACAGGTGGTATTCGAGGCCGGCTAATTCGGCATCGTAGGAGTATTCAACCAGAGCATCCCGCACCAGCTCACAGTAGAATTTAGACTTGACGAGATTCGCCGGAGTAGCCCACACCAAGGGGTTTCGGAGCGTGACATGAACGGTAGCCTTTGGAACCCAGAAGCGGTCGTCCTTCTTGAACCACAGCCGCACATGGTCATCGTGGCGGATGAGCTTCGGGGTCTTGGCCGGCTCTTGCACCTCCTTGCGCTCCACCGAGAGCCTGGTGGGAACAAACTCGTTCTTATGCGGCATATGCAGATCGGGAAGTCTAGACTCTGGGGACGTAGCCAATGCTTCGTGGATTTCGGCCATGAAGTCCTGGGGGATCTTCTCAACCTTGTAGTCGGTCCCATACCACTTCTCCTTGGAGTCCCAGTCTCCCGGGTAGTCCTGGGCTACGATGGTCATCCGGAAGTTGTCGGCCCTGAAATATGACAGGGCTTTCTTGATAAGCTCCGGGTCGTACTTCCTCATGATTGAGCCACTCAGCAGCCAACCTCTGGGGAGAGGCTTTTGCATCACACTGCTCAGGCGGCTGGTGAACCGACTAGCGGGCGATTTCTGCTTGAAGCGGAACTCTACCTCGGCAAGGTTCTTCATCTCATCAAAGATCCACTGCTCGGGCTCCCGTTCCTTGATCATTGCGATGTACTGGAACACCACCTTCACCACCTCTCGATACTGCCGCAATCCCTCCCGGGTCAACCGAAGAGAGACTGTAAAAAATGCAGCTCCAGGGCAGACGGGCATAACACCGGCCGACAGACCATTTGCCCAACCCTTTGCCTTAACATAGGCCAGAATACTGCCGGGTCCCTCGTGGCCAATCAGGTGACTGATGTACCGGCTCGGCTGGGACTCGTACAGAAACTCCTCGTCCAGGAATGGAAAGTAGATATCGACTGATCGCGAGTCCATAACCGGCTTGGCAAAAATCTGCTTGCACATGTCGTCCTGCGTCCATGGCTGGACATCATCCCAGCGATTCTGCGGAAGACTCTTGTTCTGCACTCGAGAAAACAGATCGCTCACCCACTGCTCCATCTCGTCCAGCGATTCGCGGCCCAGAACCACGACCTTCATCCGGTTCGATGAGTAGTGCTTCTCGTAAAATTTAATGAACTCACTCCGAACATCAAGCCCCCGCTTCTGCGGTTCTTCCTTGAGCGTCTGCAGATTGCCGGTGGAGAAATGATGGTAGGGATGTGCGGGATTCGAAAGGGACTTGTTCAGCTGCATTAAGCGCCACAGGTCGCTCTGAAGGTTCTTTTTATTCTCTGAATCTACCGCTCTCAGTTCGCGGTCTAGGGTCGACTCCAGGAAAAGAGGTGACACAAAGAACTGAGAGAAGCGATCCAGAGCGCCATATAGGGCCGAGGTCGGGTAACTAGAAGACGATCCATTTACCGGCAACTCTGCATTCGCGGCTGTGCCTTCGGTGTCACCGTTCTCAGTTGAGCTGCCGTTGGAGGCCCCCTCCGTCGGCGCGGTGGCCGATACCTCGAAGAAATAATTTGTCTCTGTGGCGGCTGTGTATGCGTTGGAGGAACCGGAGTTCGAAGCGAGGAACTGGTTGTACGCGTTTTCTTTGGGATACTACAGTCCAAGGCACGGCAGTTAGTAGTCTGACATGTGTCGCCCAAGGGGGGGAGAGGGGTCCAAGGCCCATGATTCGAGGGCGGCATACCTTTTGTGTTCCCATGAAAAGCAAGTGTTCTACCGCATGCGCCACACCACTCAGATCGTCGGGGTCTGAAAAATTTCCCACATTCACGTTGACGGCCGCGCTGGCCTTGTCTGTGTCGGGGTCATGGACCAGGAGGGCTTCGAGTTGATTCGGTAAGCGGATGACGCGATAGGAGCGGTCATCGAGTTCGGGCTTCTCCAGCTGCTCGGTGATACGTTGGATTGAGCCCATGGTGATGGGTCCGGTGGAAAATGAGGCACGGGGAATTGAAGGAAGGGAATGGTGATCGCGCGGCGAACTGAACAGCCGACGAGAATGTGAGGACAACCCGGGTGAAGCCGACGAAGAGAAAGAGGCAACCGCCACACGCGCCCCTGACCGAGTAATCGAGCTAGAAGCTGAGCAATTCAAGAGAACTCTGAGGTTCCACAGCCGCGTTGCAGGGGACCTTGGTAGTATCATCCAGAGAAGGATGCAGGCGGTGGTCCAGTTTATCCAGAGTCAATGCAGATCACGCAAGGACGGAGGTCAAGTAGACAAGGAAAATTTGGGTGACGTGTTAATGTCTGAAAAACTGGAATGAAAGGCAAGTCTTAGATGACAAGAAACTGTGACAGAGATTGGATTGTAATGGAGAGTTCCAGTTGGCTTGGACGGAGAGTCGGGCCAAACAAAGCGGTTTAGGGATGATGACTGATGCAATGCTGTAAATACTAGTGAGATGCGGGAGGAGTGGCGGAGACGGAGACCTATCGGGGACACGCGAGGTGAGAAGGCGGTGAAAAGGGAGAGGAAGGGGGAGGGTTGGCTGCTGTTTTTATATCTGACCCAAGGGGGTGGTATTCACTGTTTTACCTTCAACTAGTGTCCTGTCAAGTGAATGCATAGAGTGAAGGTCATCCTGACTACCTGGATATCATCAGAATATAATAGTCATCTTGTGTGACATCCATCCACTTTGGTGGTGAATTATTATGACTACTGTTGGATGGAACTATATATACTAGTAGTGTGATATGATACAGTGGCAAGAACATGTTGATCAATTCAAGTCAGAATGTAGAACATATGATTTCCAAATTCAGAAATTACTGCCTGATCTATTGGGTTTATTGAAATCTACACCAAACTCTAGCTATGACTAGACAAGCTCAACCCTACAGTACCCGAACGGGGCATATGTCAGATGTACCTAGTTTGGACAGCCATTGGGATTTACACATAATAGCTTCCTGTCTTTCCTTGTTCACAACGTATTCAACTTGCATTCCACAGGGTTGTTGTACAATACCCTTGTATACAGAATATACAGAATGGGTCCTAAACACCCAGGCTCGGACAACAACCCGATACATCGGCATCATCAACCGAACGGGATACTTCATGCCCGAGTATATAACACATTTCTTCACCTTCCCAAAAGCCACCAACAGATAAACTTCGATAACAATACACAATCTACCAACCGTCGTAAACATTATTCACAATGGACATCGCCGAATCCCTCAAAACCACACAAGGTCTCCAGACCATCCACTGCATCGACATGCACACAACAGGCGAACCCACCCGCATCATCTACGCGGGGTTCCCCAGCTTCACAGGCACGCTTCTCTCGCAACGCGACCAAGCCAAACAACACCATGACGACATCCGGAAACGCCTGATGCTCGAGCCGCGCGGTCACGACGGCATGTACGGGGCGATCATCCGACCGGAGACAGAGTTGGTGCTTGACGGAACGGCAGACATCGGGGTGCTATTCACCCACAACGAGGGCTACTCGACGATGTGCGGGCACGCAACTATAGCCTTGGGGCGATTTCTTGTCGACACGCATGACCGCAGCGTATTTCCACGGCGGAACCAGCTGCGATTCGATCCCCGCACGCAGACTGTCGCGGTCAACATCCACGCGCCTTGTGGTCTGGTTCGGGTTACGGTGCCGACTACGGCAGACGGGAACAAGTCCGATCCTGCTCGCCCTGTGGCGTTTCTCTCGACTCCGTCCTTCGCCACGGCCTTGCAGGTGGAGGTTCCAGTGCCACCGGGGGTGCGTTGGCCGCAGCTCGGGGCGAAGGGGTCGATTTTGCTGGATGTCAGCTATGGTGGAGCATTCTACGCTATTGTCTCCGCCTCAGAACTCGGGTTTGCGGGACTCCGCGATGTCGATCTGGATGCTTTTACAACGTGCATGCAGAAGCTCATCCCTTATCTCAAAATTCGGCCCGAGATCGTATCGGCCATTCAGCATCCTGATGATTCACGACTCTCATTTCTGTACTCTGTCATGGTAGAGGATCACGCTGTGGGGTTCAAACCAGAGGACGTCTTAGGGAGTGAGACGGGCCTCTGTTACTTCGCTGGCAACCAAATCGATCGATCGCCTACGGGATCGTGTGTCTCGGCGAGGATGGCACTGGCGCATGCAAAGGGCCTGCGCGGTACTGGACAACGCTGGGCTTATAATTCGCTTGTGTCTAATTATTTTGGTACGGGAGCGTTCAGTGCTGAGATCGTGGAGGAGGTTGAGATCCAGGGACCGATGAGTGGAAATATGAAGGGCGTTGTTGTCCAGGTTGAAGGACAGGCGCACTATACGGGCGCTTCGAGCTTCATGGTAGAAGAGGGTGACGACACTTCGCGAAGCGGGTTTACGATGGGCAGTGTTGCATAGAAGCCTAATGGAATACTTACATTACTAGATGGTCGAACTATAAATTCAGCGTAATGGATAACGTTTTGATAGTGGACTCTGCATGTTAATGGGTTATCTTTGCCCCAGCATTCTAACTATGGATACAGAACGAACTTAACATCAGAGAAGAGCGACAAGCGCCTAACTTACTATTAATACCTACCGAAGTGTCTGCCACATGTTAAGAAGGCACTATCAACCCACCAGACATAGCGAAGCACACTCCGTCTCTTTCTTCCACTTTGCTCTCTAGGCCAACTACGTGTCAAGTGGATAACTAATGGTGCAAAGGTGAAGCTCGATTGCTCTATCTAGAGCAGGCTCAATCTTCGATGGTAACGACTAGATATAAGCCATATATCGGCCAGAGCGGAAGATAGCGCACTGCGCCCTTAAGCTAAAAACAGGACATATCACTTGTATGGACTCGGACAGCGCATACCAAACAGGGTAGGTAGACCAGCCTTCGCATCACTTTATGCTTCAAGTGACTGCCTTGGACAACAAGAATGTAGGATTTTCCATCGTGCCAGCGCTAGGTTGAGTAGTCACTAGGTAAGTTAGTATCCTGTATGAGTCAACGCATATTTCCTGACTTGGAGTTCACTCTTTCATATCCCCAGCATAGTGTCCCGTGGACCAAGATTTGACAAGCATCCCCTGTCATCGCCGATACAATTAATACATCATCTTGATGTCACCCACAGTCCTTGTCATATGTGGATTATATCCTGGTGTGCTTGGAAGACACTTGGATATATTGGTAATGCTTGAGATAAAACAAGTCACAGGTAAGATGAAGTCATTCATTCTCTTTGTATCACTTATCTTGCCCTTCCCCCGGGATCCAGATATCAACTTTTGGGCTGTCATAGACGATGATGGCATATCTGATGATCACCTGGTATCTTACTGCCAATGTTTCCGGGAAATCCCGCTTACCTATAATGAATAGTTTCAAATGCAGTGATCAGATAGCAAAATACCCATCTAAATGGCAAGGTTCATTTATTCTTGAAACGTAAGACTTTCACCTGCTACGTAGTGGTGTTGGGGACTCCAGCGAATATCCAGGGATTACCTGAAGTTTTGGTTTGATAGCAGCCATTGCCTAAAATGGCCTCTGCGTTAACTTCACAAAGTATGTCAGGCCATTAATGCCTCAATCACCGTTGCGCCTGTCAATCCCCGTCAAATATAGAAACAAGATCCAGCGAGTTTCTATTTTAAAAACTACAGCGCGACAATCTCGGAACCGTAGACCAAGACCGCTTCCGATAACAATGGATCATTAGGTAAACTAGCCACGTCCATCCCCGAAAACTGTGTAGGCAGCAGGTTTTCCTCGTTCACGACTGGAGGGGGGAGCCGAACGGTCTAAATATCTTCTGCCGACGGTGAGGCTGTGCAAGATTTCGGCAACTACTGATCCAAGGATCATTTCAGTTAGTGACTTGCCTAGTTGGTAACTACCTGCCAAATCTTAACCCGACGGTCCACAACTCAGCTCCCCGGGCTTCGAAGTAGTAATTCCGGGTAAAGATATTTGTGTGTACCCTTAGACAAGATCTCACTTATCACTCACTTGAGAAGTAGGTCCAAATAAATTAAGTTCAATTGAGCAAGGGCGGATGCATCTACTCCAGATTATTAGACAGTGACATCATCAAACACGGGGAAGATCTCGCGGAGAGCTGGGGTTGAGATAAAGCATCGAAATGTCAACAAAAATAACCACCTCTAATGGGCGATCAATTTCAGAAGTCATTGAATTGTGGCAGTGAACAACGACTGAAGAGTCGGGCAATCCCCGCAGACAGACTTGTGGTCCAATAGACAATCAGCTGGTATGCAAGTCGACACAACAAGCGGTCGTCATTGACCACCCACTGCGCCAGGCAGCTCCATTCGCTGGTCAGAGATTGGCACTATCCCTTGTGGATCGGCGTTGCACAGAATTGGCTGTTTGGGTTTGCGACCCTTGGCGTGGGGATCTCGGAAGGGCTTACCAGCGTTCAGTCGTTGTAGATCTCTATAGTAATACTTGTCAGACAGGTCTGTGAGATATTTGGGGATCCAGAAGGCAATTCATTTCTTTGTGAAGAAGGCAGACACTAGCTTCGGCAAAAAGCAATTATCGAGCGTGTATCATCACCACATCGCAGATATAAATACTGGCTAGTTGCCCTCTGATCAGGTTCATCATCTTTATCCTCTCACAAGCTTACTACATCACACTATCACTATACTTCTACTAATAATTTGAACAAACATTCGCCAAACTACTCATCCGCCATCATGCGCACCCAACAACTGCTCGCTCTCTCTGGCCTCATGCTCATGAGCAACGTCGTCGCGGGCGCCGAGCTCGAGAGAGACGACGTCCCCAACCGGTGCTGGCACGTCTGCGGTCCCGTCGTCGGTATCGCGCGCACATGCGACAACGTACACCACGACAACGACCGCGCTGAGATGAACTGTATCTGCGACTGGAACAAGACCAACAAACTGGTTCCCATCTGCGAGGCCTGCA